ACTAAGAACAATAATTGTGAACAAATTATTAAAGAACATGCTCGGAATGAAACTGATTCTCAATTAGTAACTTATTTTTAAAAAAAGAAAGTGAAATTTTTTGTTAGTTGACAAGTTCTATTTTGTAATTATCTGTATTTTTCTAAATGCGGCTATTATTTAAAAATCGAGCAGAATTTTTTCTTCAATGTTTTTAGATACTGAGATAGAGTTCATTGTGCTCTATAAGAATGTATATATGAAACAATGTTCAAACTTTTCTTTGAAAGACATTTTACACAAAAAAAACCGTTCAACATTTCATGAAGGATTGTGTATTTTTTCTTTGAAGAAAGTTTACTCAATTTTTTAATAAAACTAACTATTGCTGAATATTTGGTCTGTTCTCGAAGCTTGAAAAGGTAATATTCAGACTTACGTAATATGCAAAACTGCATCCAGAAATATAGACTTAAGATTGTTTCAATACAGTATGATAAAAAATGCATGAATGCTTGGACAACTTCTTCCTTGAAAAAAAAACTGATAAATCTCACAAAAGCTTCGAATCATTTTAGATTCGATGTGTTATTTTTCATTTCACTCATTCTAAGTTCAAAAGAAAAGTTATGTGTCATTTTTGGAAAACATTTAACCTTTACCGACGTGAGAAACCTCTTTCCTTCCTTAGTGTTGACAATATATCCACAAATTAAGATCATGCTGTGAGTTTTTAGTGATTGAAAATTTGATTTTTGAGCCCTTCCCCCTCGAAAAAAGTCACTTTTCGTCAGAAAGATCGAAATTAAGATAAATGTATGGAAAGATAATCTGTGGTCTGATCGCTCATAAACCATAAAACGTTTTATTCGGCACCTCTTTTTTTATCAAAACTTTTTACGATTTCTGTCATTACCCCCTTGAAAAACATACTATTTTTAGAAAAAACAGAAAATCTTTTTCGTTTATTCTCGGTGTATATTTTTTTGCTTCAGCATCCCAGAATTCTCGAAGGAGCTTCATTGTACCCAATAACTTTTTGTTTTTTGTTTGAAAGACTATATCATGATGCAGGACATGACAGAGTCCCTTTTTTGAATTAAACTTCGTTACTATTATATATAAGAATACTCTTGTAATTAGAGCGCTATTTTTCGAGAGTTTTTTGAGACATTGAACTTTTCGTTCGTTTTCTCCCATTAAAAAGTGAGAATTTCAGAAAAAGAACTCGATGATGTCCTGCATCCTGACATTTTCTTTCTAATAAAAAAAATTGAATACATAAAATGAGCCTGGACAGAGAAATTTGAGTTACTGCATTCGCTATTTTTGATTGTTGTTTGGTGAATATCTCCCAAAAACATCAAGGGATAGAGCTGAAAGTTTTACCATAGCCTTTCGACTACAGCTCTGATATATCCTTCAAATTTCAGACGATTTGAATATATCTGGCACAAAATCGGTTTTTGAGGGAGTGGGGAGAGGTCTTAATTGAAAATAAACATCGTCTGCGGAATGAGTACTCAGAAAGACGCAACAAATCGAATATTTCATCTTAAAATGTTTTCATTTAAAATTTTACTCATAGTGTAAAGTGGAAAGAAAAAGGTCAAGGCACCGTAGAGATCAAATTTTAATGCAAAAACATTTGTTAGTGAGATAGCGAGTTTCTGACATATTTCTGGGTGTTATTTACAAATGCTATGTTTATTTTTCAATAAAAAATAATTTTTTCATAACTGTTGAGAAATGTTGAAGCAGTTAGATATTATCATTATGTTTTAGATAGTAATACTACTATATATGAACTGTCAAATACTTTAGTTGAAATTTTTTATTTTGTCAGTATTCAATTGGAGTGCTCCATCGATATCTAACAATATTAAACGTGGTGAATGAAGTGTTCATTGACTTAATTTATCATATTAAAACTTGATTTTTAGCTAGATTCTTTATTTTTGAGATATTTTTAAAAAAGTATTAAAGTGTTAGCTAATGTTAAACATTATAGGTTGACATTTTGGAACAATTCAGCATTGAAAAAGAGAATTTCTAAATAGGATTAACATGAACGGTTTTGCTACAAAAATCTTGAAGTAATTTTTCAGTTATTTTCTTCAAAATCTCGTGAAAAAAGCCCTTCGAGCACAGTTTACAAGACTTTTCTCTTTATCCATACATGATCACATAAAACCTCTAACAATCTCAATTTGCATTCGTGGATTATTTGAAGTGTCCTAATAGAGAGAAAGAAAGAAAGATACAAATAGTAAACACGAATCAATCTAGTTCGATAAATTCAATTCGTCTTCAACGAACCTCATCAAGCAATCGTTTGAATTGTTATATCTAAGTAAAATCTTGATCAACAGCTAATTTTTAATTGTGCTTCAAAGGGTGATTGTCTCTAACATTTGGCGTTCTTATACTCTTCATAGGCAGACCTTCTTTTATACATTCAATGTCAAAAAACAAGTTTTCATTAGATTGACAACCATCACATAATAACATTGACAACTGTTGTATTAAGGAAAGCAGACAAATCATGAATGGAATACAAACCATCGTTTGTGAGAGCTTTTTTCCAACATTATGACTAAGTTTTGGTACATTTCTATTTTAGAGGCTCAATTCATGAAAGATTGTGTTTACTGTATTATCACTTGTGTGGCCACAATGAAGACGAATTGGACTCAATTCGATTTTTTCAAAATTTAAACCGAATCGAAAAAGAAGTATTTTTTTTTAATTTGATTAGAGATAACTAAATGTACGTCATTTTTATGTGAATTTGTTCTTTCTTAATTCAAACGATTATTATCTAAATCTCTTCTGTGATAATCGAGAGATCAATGAAGATGTCATACCTCGAACATAATACGAGATCACCTTAATTACTTATGTAATCAAGAACTTGTACCTTTAATCAATACATTTAATTGGAAATGTGCCTAGTTTTTTCAGGATTATTAGTTGAAAACCAATTAAGACTGAAGCAAAAATTATTACTGTGCCTTTTTAATTCTAAAGAATCCTTTCGAATTCTTCAGACTGTTGCGACTCTCTAGGAAACTTTCTAATGTATTAATAATAATATAAAAAGAGAAATCTAACAGAAGATCATATTGTAATATTTATGTACTGATACATAATAGAAAATTCCGGCTTTAACTTTACTGCTATTTGTGTAGAGTAGTCCTTAGCTATTATTCATCCGGTTTCAATATTAGTATTAAACCGTTTACTGGCATCAATAGTAAATATTTGACCGATCCACATTAGTCCATAGTATATAAAAACAAGACAACACAGCATGATGAAATTGAAAAAAAGTAAAATTCCAACTCCTACTTTTGATTGTTTGGACTATAGTAAATTACATTTTAAAATGACAAACAGTATACAGCTTCACAGACTGTATCTTCTAAATAAATTATAAGAGGATTTTAATACTGTTTTTGAACGATATGTACATAGTCGAATTTCCTATTAAGGTCTACTTGTATTTATTTCGATAAAATAACTTGCATTGCCGATGACAACGAACGCAATCGAAGTGAGAAACGTACTCAAATGCATCTTAGTAATGTAATGAGGAGTGACGAATGACATTCAAATGCGTAGCTGGAAGTCAAGAACATCAAATACCATATACAATAAGGACATGCAATTGCATGTCTTCGATCAAAAGCGTCTCATTACTTTCAGCTGAACATTGTCTGCAGTTATAAAGGCAGTCAGATGTAAAACCAAAGAATTCGTATTCGAACGCGTTTCATAGCGAATACGAACTCGTTTGGATACGTCTTATTCAAGAAACTTATTCGACTATACGCGGATTGTGTGAAACACGTTTTGAACAATTTACGATCGACACATTTCAACGTGTTTATAGCCCATTTCAATTTGAGTTGCGTTTAAACGCCGTAATATGCAATAAAAACGCGTTTCGACGTGTCTAAAATGCGTTTCATGATTACATGGGCGAAATTTAGATAGTGATATGACACTCCTAATACAACTGAGGATAGTGAAACTCTTCAGAAGGAAATCAACATGTGCTTATCTCTTATTTTGTATCTTGTGCGCTATCACTGTCAACAATGACATATAGTTTTGTTGAATCAGCACAAGCACAACTCAAATCTCTCTCTTTCACGAACGGTATACACAACAATATGCAAGACGCACTGTTAGTTAACGATGAGGATCGTGCTATACTACGAACAAGTAAAAGAGTTAGAAACCTTCTTTGTTTCGTCTCGATTGGTTTACTCTTTTCACTTGTTAATATCGCTCTTGTGTCAGTAACATTTGCTGTCGTCAATAAGCGACTCAAGCCCGCGAGCAATGATAACAAACTGTCTCTCGATTCTACATATGCAGAATCAATACGTATCGATGAAGTCATGGTGCATCTGCATGAATTGCAGCGCCTTGCTACTGTTAATAATAGAACTCGAGCTGTTAACACGTATGGCTTCAATCAAACACTCGACTACATCACAGATTATCTGTCAACTAATACAAATTACAAAGTAAGAAAGACTTTTTTCGCAGTCAAAAATTTTGCGCTTGTTCGGAATCCAATCTTACTTTCGTCGGTTGATGGAATTATCAAAAATCACACTTATTCAACCAATTTATCGGTTGCTGAATTCGTTCATGTTCCGTACTCAACGTCGTTCAATTTTCCCGACTTTGTACCACTCACTGCTATTCCCAATTACGGTTGTTCGGATGCTGATTGGCTCGCAGCAAGTCCAACATCAACCGGTCATGTAGCACTCGTTCAAGGAGGTGATTGTAATTTTGCTGAGAAAAGTATCATTGCCACAAAGTATCATCCAGCTGCACTTCTATTTTACAATGATGCTACATTCCCACAACCAATTATCTTCAGTCTCCTTCAGACAAATGAACTACCAGCATTATTTCTCTCCTATTATCTGGGTCTATCCCTTGCTGATGCAGCTCGTAATCCATCGACGAATGCCAGCGTTCGTATAAATATCGACGTTATGAACAATGGTACGTTTCCCGTTGGTAACATTTGTGCTGATACACCAACTGGAGATGTAACTCAGACAATTGTGGTCGGAAGTCATAGTGACAGTGTGACAGCTGGACCAGGAATTAATGATAATGGTAAGATAACATACTGATGCATTAAGTTGCCTAGAGTGATGGGTTAGTATGGAGAAAATGAACACCTACATTCTGATTTCTTTCGGGTATTTCTATAGAAGTCACCACTCCTAACAAATACGATGAGTCTTCTCGATCTTGTTTAATAATTTTTAACTAATGAAGATGCCAAAAATTATTATAAGACCAATAATTTGATTCCATTCATTTTCGAAAATTTTAAAAGTAAAATATGGATCAAAAGACCCTACTGGCTATCACAATAACCGTTAATGAAACTGGCAAGTTTTACCAAAAAAGTATTCCATTCATGTTCCTTGTTATCATCATCGTTCAGCTTTCGTTATGTTAACTGTACTTGAGTGAAGGAGTTCTTGTTCATTTTTCGAACTTAATCAGAAGTTACTTTAAAAAATATGTTGATTGTTTTTCATACGTTCAATGATACTGATAGGTAAAAGAATGAAAAAGAGAGTAAGAGAGAGGAGATAAATATTTTGTTAAAAGCTCAAAATCGTAGTAAAAAATCGGTTAGACATTAAACTATCTTTAAGAAAAGAAAATAGAAATTAATCAACCTCTGTATTTGTTTTCTTTTCCATTCTTGAACGTTTTTCTTATTTGATTAGCAAAAGACATCAATTAACACGACTTTAAATATAAGATATGCTGAAGCATTTGAATCTTTCGTGTAGATACAGGAAAAGTGATATTTGTCGATTATTTTCAAAACTGTACACACTTGAACATAGTGAAAAACGCCTTCAGCGCAATCTATTATAGGATTAAAATTTGAATTACAATGAAACCGTTTCATATGGATATGAAAATACTAGTTATTTTTATCGCGATTCATCACAAAATCAGGAGAACATCATCTACATGTGCCTCTGGCAGTCTGTAAATGGGGCTAATATATTGTACCACGAGAGAAAAATTGACTTTTTGTCTTCCAGATTTCAATCAATTACAAACCGGCAAAATTTCTTGGAAATTCAGAAATCAGAGGTTCAAAAATCCATAATACCATTATTTGGAAAGTCTGAAAATCCATAACGGCTTGTCAGCTTGTCTCTTACGATCGATGTGGGATAGGAAGAGTCCAGTTTTCGCGTTATATACTTTAACATTCATAAATATTTGTGTTTCAATTAAATTCAACTTTTCTCTTTTTCTGTCTATAGGTAGTGGTAGTGCAGCTAGTCTCGCTTTAGCGGTCACACTAGCACGTCTCTTTCAAATGACAAATTATGCTAAATACGCCTACCGTATCCGATTCTGTTGGTGGGGTGCTGAAGAACTTGGTCTTCTTGGTTCAGCCTATCATGTAGCACAAGCTCAAAATTCGACTATTATCGGTGAACGTATCACTGACTATTTGATCAATCTCAATTTTGACATGCTGGCATCACCTAATTATATATTTGGTATTTATGATGGAAGTACAGTTGATAATACTACAACTTCGCGCTCGGCCATTCCCGGTAGCAACAAAGTATCTGCATTGTTTCGCGATTGGTTCATTCGACAAAAGCTGCCCTGGGATTACACACCGTTCAACGGTCTAAGTGACTATGCACCGTTTTTGACAGCGGGAATAGTCGCAGCTGGACTTTTTTCGGGAGCAGACGATTTCAAAACGCAAGAACAACGTGATCGCTATGATACACTCCTTGGACAAGGTCAAGGCGGTACTGCCGACGTCAGTCAAGATCCTTGTTATCATAAGGCATGTGATTCTGTTCAGAATATCAATGTTGCTGGCTACGAAAAGATGGTTCAAGCAGCTGCATACGTCATCGAATTCTTGGCTCGACAAACTGATTTGAAAACGTGGCTCTATCCACCAACTGCAAATTAAACACGGGAACAATTGACCTATTCATGATTCAGAGAATGAAATCTACTCGTCTATACTACTTTCGATTCACGCTAGATTTAGAATGATCGCTTCGCACAGGAGATTACACTTTTTCTGAAAAGAAAATTTTCTTGCTTTTCTAGTTCTATAAGTACTTAGAACCTAGTAGAATAAGAGACATCGTTTTTTTCTCTGATGATACAATAAATGCTTCAAAAAAGTAGTTTTTACCGTTCTACCATAAACTTATCATGAGAAAGTGTAAAATGATTTGTTATATCAGGAGAGGCACCTCCTGACACAAGACGACTCTCTCTATAATATTACAGCTCTTGTTAATGGCATTCCTTCTCGTTGCTTCATGGTATCTCTTTGTTCTGAAAATAAACAAGAAGGTATATCATGGAAGAAGAAGAGAAAGAGAGAGAATCACATTGTGTGCTGCTTTTTTGTTTTGATTCATTCACTTGTTTGTTTTTTAAAAGAGAGGAGGAGAATAATAAAATAAAGGAAGTAAAGGTCTAACATTATTCTTCGCCTCACTAAGATTAGAGATCATTTTCTGTCGAAGATAATACCTGGAAAAGTTCAAACACTTCATGAGAGAGTCATGTATTTATGATTCATAATAACTTTCGCAAATGCCTGATTTTCTACACAGTGGTGTTTTATGAACTTCTCTTGATGCTATTTCTTCTGTCATGACGTATTTTCTGCAAAGTAACATACAACTGTCACAATTTTACGGATTTAGATTATTATCATATCTTGTCATTTGTATAATTTTCATTTGTTCGTTGGACTATGAGTTGTCAACAGTATTTAAAGTTCAACGAAGCGGTAATGTTGCTGTCACTTTTTTTTTGAATTCATACATTTCTCTGTTTCTCTTCAAGATAGTGTTTCAAATGTCGTTCATATAAAACGATTGCTGTTCTTGGAACACGACATTTCGTCTTCCCATCTTTTGCTGCGATCTTTTGTTGTACTTATTTGTCAGAGTTAATGTTTTGAAGTGTACTTACCATGAAATATCTGAATCATTTTCATGTAATAGAGATTGTCTATTGCAGTTTCTTCAAAATGAACGAATCATTTCTTCATGAACAGAATTCTTTAGTTCTATCTAACTTTTTTTTCTACTTTCAATAGCAGCTACTCATTTGTGATATAGATGCAAGACAGCCACATATTTGTTACCAATGCCGTGGACTTTTCTTTTTAGATCGATCTACACAAAACTATTGCCCTACAAATGGCATAGTGAGTTCTACAAATATTGTTTACTTAGCAATAACTGGATTTGAACTATTTCACATTTATCACCAAGTAAATAGTATTTCATTCACTCGACTATAATTAATAGCCAAAGTTTGAATTGGTAGCAAGATGAACTTTTTCTCTATTATCAATCGAATATATATATTCGTTGGTTGCTTTAATTCTCTTCTAGCATTTACTTTCCTTACTATTGCTATAATCTGTCGAAATCGATGCTTCAATTTTCCTACTCTACTAGCTTGCAACACTGCTCTAGTTGTTTTTCTTTTTTCTTGTGATAATACTGCGGTAGCCATCTACATGATGTTCGGGGACCAACAGCTAGTACCACATATGGACTCTCTTTGTTCATTACGTGCTTATATTCATCATTTAACGGCGGCTGCCATTCATCATTCGTTCATTCTACAAGCAATAGAAAAATATGCTAAGATTAAGAGAATGAAATTCCTTGATACTTACAGTCGTAAGGTATCTATTGTTCTTATTCAATGGATATTTGATTTCATTTTCTGTTTGCCTGTTTATCTAACAGACAACATGCCAAAACTTAGTTCAGATAATCTATGTTTTGTCACATTATCACAACCTGGCATGCTACTTTACATGGGTGCACTAGCATTCTTTTTATCGGATATTACTCTTATAATTCTCTATCGCCGTTTAGTAACTTACGTACGTCAAGCTTCATCGAGAGTCCATGCCAATCAGGAGCGACAAATGTACCGCGACTTGAAAATGGTCAAACGTATAGTATTGCTGAATTCTCAACTGGCTCTTGTCGGCATATCGCCGCTTGTTTTTATAATACTCATTATAATTCGTCCCGATCTTTTACTACCCAAGTGGATGCGCGTTTTTCTTTTAGTGGTGAATATCGCCTTATGTCCTATGCTCATTGTTCTCTTCTGGATTACGCCAAATCTACGACAAAGTCTTATGGAATACCTGAACAAAGCAAAACGTTTTTTATCAATCCGTGACAATAGCGTGAGACCAACGAGGGAAAACAATCGATTTTAGTCGACTATATTTGAAATATTCTTCTAACTAGTCTTTTGTTCAATAAAACAGCAAATAAAAATTTCTATATAATGGTATGATTTATCTAATGACTTTATAATAAGGCTTTTGTCTATTAATCGTTATTTTGAATCAGCAGAAAAAAGTACACCGAATTTAGTTCGGCATTTCGATCGATTTATAACTTAATCTTAAGTTTCATCATTCTTCCCATTTTTATGCATAGATCTACTTCTGGTTTTAAAACGAGCATAACAAAGTACGAGACTATTTGACTTTGAATAGTATCTATTCGGTACACTTGACATGCTCATAGTGTTGGACTCCATTTATAGATTGCACAATTGTAAATATTCCTAGAATTTCAAAGATGGGTAGAAAGAAATAGAAAACGCGCATGATTATGAATACATAAAGATTCTGTCAGTGGTTATGGTTAACTAGCAAACCGGTAGATTGCATTTTCTAAGTTGACGAAGGAACGATTCTTACGAATGTTGATTGGCATACTACTCTCAGAAATATCATGATACGTTGGATGACGAAGTTCACGTAATGAAAAGGTGGAAAAGTCTAACTGCAGCCACTTGAAACCTTTGAAATTTCTCACAATCGGTTTCCGTTATTGGAAACCATTGAAATCATTGAACATCTCAAAATAATCGTCAAACCAATTTTTCCACTTTGTTTACTAGGTCGTTTGACAAGTGTTCATCCATTGCATACAAAAAATTGTCATGAATCTGACAAGAGAAATAACTTTGTATTATTCTTTTAATCGTGAAAGTATATTTGATGGATAATGTAAAAGATTTCATACGTTAATATAAATGAGAACTTCATGTGGAAAACACACTCTAGGCTTCTTTTAAATAGTTAAAATAATAAAATCTACGGATAGAGGACAGTTGATCCCTAAATCAAGCTCACTTGAAAATCATATGGGTAATAACTTATTTGATAGAATTCATGCTTCCTTCTTCAATAGTATATTACTTTGAATAGAAGAATTCAAATAAATAAAGTGTCAATCGATCAGATTCTTCCACGAAGATTGGTCGGCATTGCTTATTCGAATTGAATATTAAGATTCTACGGTCGAAAGACAAAATACCGATAAAAATTGTGGATTTATTTGAAAATTAAACTTTTCGAACGACCTAATGCAAGTCAAATGAAATATTTCAGCTTGGAAGCGAAATCATCCGATGATCAATGAAGTCGTAATCGATATTGAAGACTCGACAGTAAACGATTGGGATGAATTTTCCATTCTCCTCTTGTCTAATTCGTGTTTGTCTTTTCAGACGGAGTTTATTGGTCGGTGATTGAATACTAACTTCGATTAGAAAGAAATGTAACCATTGCATTCGAAACTTGTCTTCAAAGAAATATTTCTGTATCTCAAAGGAGTCTTCTTCCCGACTTTTTGTTGATCTTTTTTTTCCTTCTCGCTCATTCAAACCAGGATGGACTGAATGAATGAGAGAGCTTCTGGAGGTTTCATTCATTTTTATTGATATTAGACCGAATTTCGTATTTTGTTTTTCTTGAAGAAAAAGCTAATGTGTTCAACTTTTTTTTGCATTTCACAATGCTGATCGTCATTCGGACAGTTGTTTTTGTTTCTATTATTCAGCTGTTAGCTAAAAAAGCACCGACGTTCTTCGCTTGCACTGTTTAACATACAATGCTTGCCATTGAGATCAAAGCATGATCTCATTTGGTAATCATATTGATTATTCATGTTCGACATTGGATAAGTTCAAGTCGAAGAGAAGTAAGAAAAAAAACAAAGAAAAGCATGAATGGGTACGGGTCTACTTTTCAGTCTCGCTCACCTTTGAATAAGGAGAAAATGTCGTTAAAAATCAGGGAAATATGTTATGTGGCTTGTTTTATTCCGCTCTCTGTTGACTAATAGGCTGATCGTCATATTCGATCAATCTGTACGCGGTGACCGTTCATCTCATTGAGTAGGATGTTGTCAAATATTTCCTGCTAACATTCAACCCATTAGTAGATACATCTTTGCTTTTAATGGAAGTACAAACTTTACCTCGATCAAGTGAGCATTTTCCAGATGACAAAAGGATAGTTTCTCTTAGGAAAGACCGACAATATGCAGAGATCATCTATTATTCATAGATAGTTGCATGGGAGAGAACCTTTTTAATAAGTACAATAATATTACAGCATGTTTAGGCATCGAAAGAAAAGTGTAGCTGTGTGAATGGTGAGTGTGAGTCTTACTGCTACTCATTCACCCACACGTATATTCGCCATTCATACTGTCAAATAGGTGATAAAGTTAACTACGATAATAGCAAAAAAGTAGAACTAGGTCAATATTTCCGACTGAGTAGCTTGAAGAGTAATAGTAAAACTATCGCTCTGGGCAGCAAAGTGAATTTCCTCTATATAGATTAAGAAAAAAATTCTTATGGTGAAACAGCTTAAACACCCCATAAAATACATCGGTTTCCATATTGTTAGTCACTATATGATTGGCTTTTCAATATAAAACAGTGATTCAGCCAAGCAAATTTACTTTACATGTAGTAATTATAATGACTGACGAAAACTAAAATATCATATTTTATTTTTGGTTGAAATTAAAAACGAAGAAAACTTCGAAATATAAGAAATTATAATACTCAATTTGATGCCAATAACTAAATGTGATGTTAGAACCTAGCGTTTCAGCCTGACTCTCTTCACTTTAGAAAATTTCAGGATGATATATAATATATGATGTGATACAGAATTGAATAGATTATAAAATGAAGTTATTATATTGTTAACAATCATCTTTTGACATGAACGTTAGGTCAAAGTAGCAGAAAAACAAAACTGTATGCATTGTCAAAAAATATAGTATTTGAACTTTTTTGATTCTATATTGAGTATAAAGAGAAATGTAATATCTTTAGCATTATTATAGAGCAACCTGAGCTCTATCGATTGCCATGCGATTCAATTAAAAAAATAAAGATGCTGGCGCAATCCCTGTAAGATTATAATGTGAAACACGATGTAGCTGCTGTTGCTAATCACAGAGAGATTGTTTTATTCTATCTAATTTGGGACACATTTCTTGATCATCCTTTTACTTCATGAAAGTAATTTCTAATACACACTGTTTTTCTCGATCTACAAATATCCACGGACACCCATATCTTTTGCCATTGAGTAAGCCGATTCAGCTTAGACGTATACTAAAAATATTAAGCTTTTCTATGCTAGCCTAAGAAAAATACAAGGCATGTGTTTTCCCAATTCTGAGCCATATTATTGAATTTTGCATATCAGTCATATCACGCAAGTCATCACTGAACCTACTCAATTAAGGCCATCAGATATTGCTCAATTTAAGATATTATTGTAGAAGGAAGAGTTGTATGAATTTTAATGCAAGCTGTTTTGAAAAATATTGAATCCTCGGTTTTTTATGCATGTTTTATGAAAATTTCTAAAAATGAGCGTTTATTTCTACAAGTTCTACTTAGGATAAAATTTTTAACTAGAAATATTGGACCTATAACTTTTATAACTCATCCAAAATAGGCGAAAATCCACATTTTAAGCAATTTTGTTACTTCATAACTCGTGATTTAAATAAGATAGAGCTCTAAAATTTCCAATGGCGCTAGAGTTTGTGGAGATGTATATTCATTAGAAATTCCAATCGTGCACACCCTTCCTTTCAGTCAGTAGGTCCGTCTCAAAAATGGGTTCTTGATGGAAATTTTGTTTTTCAGACAAGGTTTTCTCCCAAGAAATAGAGTAGTTTAAGGGCTCAGTTTAAAAGTTGGAAGGCTCATCTAGGGTGTACAACTTCATGGAAAACGTGAGAACGTGAGTGAGTGGACGTTCGTAAAGAAGAGCCTTATATCCACACCTTCATTGGAATTTTAAGCGTACCAATCCCTAAACCGTTAATGGCCACATTTGGGATCCCAAACGTCATGGTTTTTCTGGACAGTTTTTTGACGGCCCAGACTGATTTTACCTAGAAATTGTACATCTTAAATGAGTCTCCCAACTTTTTAAACTCAGTCCTCAAACTATTCAATTTCTTGGAAGAAAACTTCGTTTGAAAACGACGATTTTCATCATCAATTGAGCGAGTCTGGTCATGGCTTACGTCGCATGGCTGATTTGCAAAATTCAATCATAAGGCTTAAAATTGAGGAAGTGTATTCCTTCTATTTTCCTTAGGCTAGCATATAAAAACTTAATATTGTGGATATGTACGTAAGTTGAGTCAAGCTACTGACTGGTAGAAGATATAAATATTCGTGAATGTTTGTAGGTTGAGAAAAACTGTGTATCAGAAATCGCTTTTATGTTCAACCATTTTGACTGTTCGTGAATGCTCGTAGAATCAGTTTGACCAGCTTGATCTACTGATAGTATAAGTTCCCGATCGAGGGAGATGTTCGTATCTTTTGCAAATACCCTATCAAAAACATTATGATAAAACTTTTTGCACATTTTTCAGATGCACACGTTTCCTTTTTAAGCATGTTCACGCACTTTTTATGATGAAAGTAGCTGGCTTGGGTTTTTTCTAAATGGATATGAAAACGCTCAAATGGGAACTACGATTAGGACATTTAAACACGTTTTCAGAAGATCTTGTCTGCTTGTATGAAATCATCAATTATCTATTTTTTGTCAGATGGGATCAATAGAACTATCGAGAAAAGAAAAAGATTCTCATTCTCGGTCAATTCAAGACATTTGGTGTGCGAATAATCTATTATTTCAAATATAACTGAAGTATTTCTGGAATCTTTTCTTGATTTTTTATCGTACATATGAAAAAGTATGCAAAGACATTGGATCTGTAAAAACAATTGTATTTAAATGAGTTTTTTGTCTGTCGATGGATTAAGTTTTCCATATTTGCCTTTTTCTTCACAAGATGATGCATGATCGTTTTCCCAATGTTTTTGGCTTTACAAGGGTGGCAATAATTGCTTCATCAAAGACTTCCTTGACACCTCTCTAGAAGTGAAATAAGGTCAATCGAAGAAGAAAATCAATTTCGATCAATCAATTTACTTGTGTCAATGCACTGCATTCAACATATTTTACTGCTTTGAGTTCACGAGCCAGTTTTTCGCCTTGTTTGAATGAAATCAAATTTCCATGGGACCGTTTCAACGAGGTAATCGTTTTCGGATCATCTCGAAGATCGATTTGTGTTCCGACAAGTACAAATTGAGTATGAGGACAATGATGAGTTATTTCCGGCATCCACTATCAATGTGTAATCATGAAATGATCGAACAACATTGACTGAGGTATTTATTCGAAAAATGAAACAAACCTTTGTGCGAACATTTTCAAACGACGAAGGTAGAGCGATATTAAAGCACACTAAGAATACATTGGTCTGAGGATAGCTCAAGAGGCGAAGACGATCGTAGTCTTCTTGTCCTAGAATCAAGGATAAAAATATGTCAATTGTATCCTAAATTTATCCAAATAACTTACCAGCTGTATCAAATAAATTTAAAGTATAAGGTTCCTGATTGATCATTACTGTGACAGCATAATTATCAAATATCTGAAAACGAGTCGCAGCAATAAATGTCTGTCAATGGCACATGAAAATTGACAAACAACTCACCGTTGGACGATATTCACCCAGAAATTTATTTTGCGCATAGGCGGCTAATAGACAAGTCTTTCCTGTATGAGACGAAGATGTATAATTTCGGATTAGATTATCTACAATGATCATCTTACCGACAGCACCATCACCAACAACTACACACTTGATCGCTCGCGTAGCTCGTCCTGTTGCTTGTTGATATGCCATTGAAATCTAAAACTCGGAAGAAACATGGTAATATACATATTTCATTGACGAAAGAGAACTCTACTTTATTCAAGACAAATTGAATTTGACTCAAAACGAAAAGCAGCGACAAGTTGAGAACATGTGCAATGAGTAATGTGAGATGTGAGTCATCAAAGCTCGAAAATGGATTCTTTCGATTCTGTACGGGGTTTCTCATACTGATTTCATTTCTATGAGACGTCACACCCCATGATGATTTTTTCGTAAGAGGGCGTTTAATTGAGACTTGAATTTCAACTCAGCTTCAAAAAACAAATTTCTCTTCTTCATGTCAATATCGGGCAAGCGAACACAAATACTACCCCACCAATTGACAATGTAATACTTTTTTCAACTCTTTGCGAACTTGTGGATATCTAATCTGGAGGAAACTATCTAATTACGTATTTGTAAGATTTTTCTCGAGATCGATATGTTTTACTCGACAATGTCGCTCGAAGAAAATAGCGTATCTACCAGATAAAAACGTACCGTTTTCTGAATTTATTTGAGTAAATGAATATGTTGAAAATGTACCGTCAAGTGAATCGGTTAACAATCAGCAAAATTCGCTGTCATCAAAGAAATATTTTTGATGAAGTTTGTTTGTCAGGTAGAAGAAACAGCTTTGAAGAAAAGAAACCTCATATGTTACTCATGATTTCTCACCCTCAGTCGCGGTGGACGCTAGTATGCGCAAATGAGGGTGTAGTCGAGATAAAAAGAAAAGTGCGCGTTATTTCACAACTAATTATGAATCATTCAAGTCAATTTTGTAGATGTTTGCTCTCGAAAAAAGAACACTTTTGAGACAAGCAGAAATAGTGTTTTTGTCATGGAGTTCTTTTCAAAAACAATTTGAGTCACACTATAGCCATTCATATTCGGAGTGCAATGAATAGAGGCCACGCTCGCAATACTTAGACAGTAGTGACACTCACTTATGTTCACTAAACTCGAATGTATGAGTTATATTGCTACAGAAGATGAAAACATATCGTTGCCTTTCACAGAGAATTACTCTGTTTTATTCCAATAATATGTGCTGTACCGACAGAATTAAAAACACATCTCCGAAGATTGAGTATGACTTTTTAGAGTTCTTGTATGTGCATATTCGACTGTTTTTTGCCTTTGCTTCTATTAATATGATTAGTTTCCTACTTCTGAAAGTTTAAAGATTCTTTTATACAAGCAAAAGAAATTAATAGAACTACAACCAGTACAAAACAAAGTCTACAAACATTATCTATTCGTGATCGATTTGAAGTTCGTATATGGATTTCAGTTCGGATAAAAACTAACTTTGATAAGAGCGTCCATCACTTTACCCATAGGTATGAATTCCTGTTGTGATTAAACAAGACCTTGAGAGTGTGAGAGTGAGTGTGGCTCTTCTATTTGACAACACTAATATCCACAACCACACTCCACATTGATCCTCTCCACCCACACTCTACACATCCTAATTCACATACTCATTCACAGTCACAGTCACTCCCATACCAATATCTGCCAGCACACATGATATCCATACCCATACCTACATATTCTGAACAGAAATATGCACTGATTTCTTGGTCAGAAACACAAACGATAGCTCTACATTTATGTCTCATTGTTCCATGCACTTCGGTTTTATCATCGCATCAGCCATATCGAACATGTTTAGAATCTTCCAACTAGAAATTATTGTCAGTCCAAACAAGAAACTGTTGAGTCGAAGAATCGTCAATATGTTTTGATTGTATCTTAATAACTCAACCACAATCATCTTACTAGGATGTGGATGTATAGGTGAGGATGAGAAGAAGATCCACTCCAAAATCCACATTTACCCAAATCCATTCCTCTGTAAAGGGGACACTTCGTGGTTTTGCGGAGACGTGTTTACTCAAATTGAGCCCGTGTATAGTGAAACCTCCGTACAATGAACACTTTTTCGCAGTTATTCACAGTGGTTTTGGATGAACTTGAGCCTCTTTATAGTAGATACTACTCTTCAGAGCATGCAGAGAGTTGTGTGAATCGTTGATTAGTCACGAATTCCTACTATATTCGCTGTTATCGATGCTTTCTTATCTTGTTTTACAGTTAGTGAGATAATCAGTAATACCCGATAAGATTGATTGATGTTAATACGAAAAAGGATGATCATCTTTTTTCTAGCAAAACATCTGCGAATTTAGATTGAAAAATTAGAAATTATGAGGGACTTTCAATTCTTTGTGCGCAGCATTGCAGATGAGGCTAGCAATTGTACAATTTCATACCTGAGTGATCTCATTTTGGAATGAGCACGGTTTCATTCGTCTCATTTGTGTTGCATTATTAAGAAAAGAGATCATTCTTTGATTTTTTTAATGAGCTACAAAATGTGATCACGCGTTCTAGCTGACCTGTATAAAGACGAAAGAGTATGTGAAAAGGGTAAATTCATATTTCATTCAATAGTGTGGATGCAATCTTCACTTGATCAATCAACTAAAATGGCGAAAAAAGTAATTCCGCTGATAACGGCTTCTTACTCTCATTCATATTCAGGTCGTGATTGCTGATTACAAATGAACAAAGAACGGCTTCTTTTCAAAAACGTAATACGAATGAAATCAATGCAAGTCCTTATTGCATGTTTGTTCGCACTACCATCGGTATATCTCAGTAGAATGGTGATCAGAAGATTTTCGACTGTTTGAGTGTCAAACTGCCATAGATTAATTGCCAATATACCGACGCCTTTTGTCCGACTTGAATTCCATGGTACTCTCTCCGCTTCAAGATAGTTGCTTGTTGTTTTGATTTGCCTAATTTTATTTATTTAGACAATAGGCTCAAAGATACATTTTAGTTTCTCATCTTCAATGGTGATCAGCTGATGTTTTTCGAGACAAAGATCAATGAAATACTATTTTTTCAATGGCTTATCTTAAAAGTTATTTTCAACGACACAAACACAAAGAAAGAATTCCTCTCATTCTTGTTCGACCTGTTTGATTCAACGATGATCTGATGATATCAGAAGTCGGAAAACTGTCCATCATATGAAGCTTTTAATGTATTTCAATGAACGCCATCCGTGAGATCTAAAAAAGGCTTGGATTAAAATTTTTCATTCGTTTATCGATAACAAAGATTATTGAGATCTACTACACTTGACAGCTCCGCAACTCTATCTATCCATTCATAGCTCATACCATCGATCTCTCACAATCATTTTCAATTATGCACAGGAGAGTAAATAAGCACAAGGAACGAAGAAGAAACGTAGTTGCTTCCAGCATGGTCATCTATCAAGATCTATGGCTATTGGGTATCTCAACAATGAGTTATCTATCTTGAAATCCTTTCATCCAAAATAGATTACAGAGAAACCTATTTGATTTGACGGGATTTCAAAGCGTAGTTCTTTACGCAATTGTTCCTTCTAAATGAAGACAATAAACTAAAGCCAGTATCAAAATCATTTGCCCAAACAGCTCTTTCTTCATCATTTCTTTAATGTCTCGATTGTTTGTTCATATGTCATCAATTCGTTCTTTCCAGAATGATTGTCCTCTTCTTTTTTGAAAATAACAGGATTTCTTTTTGTTCGTTTTCCTCCTGTATTTTCTTTCTGTCGCTCACTCTCCTATGAACTACAACAGAAATGAAATCAAAACGCGAGACACACTGCTAACAGAATCGTGATATAAACCTCTCCAGATACTCACCTTTTCTACAGCATGTAAATATCGTTCACATAAACAGAGTGAGTAGTTGCCTTCATTTTCATAAAAATAGAATTTCCCTTCCTCTGTTTCTTCAGTGCTTACATTTTCTAGCTTACTTTTGTATAAAGTTCGATGACGTACGAATGAAAATCTCACGGAGAATCATAAAGTAATCTAACCTAAAGTTTCTTTTTGTCTTCACTTTTTCTTCAGAACGTAAACGTCAGCTTCTTTTTCCAAAGAGAAGGAGTTGTCGTTTCGTTTTTCACAATAAGAAGGTTTCTTCTTTACTTGTTTGTCGAAGTATTTTCTTTTTCTCGCTTACCTAAATATGAGTTTTTATGACCATCAAATGAAAATGCCTTGAAGGAGGGCAAAGCGTTATCATCTAATCTTTTATTTGCTCTTCACTATTTGCCTAGCACATATAGTTGCTCTTCGAGAGAGACAAAAAAAAAGAATTGCTGCTTCTTTTTCTTATCAACATGAATTCTTTCTGTTTGGTTTTGTCTCTGTCTTTATCCTTTCGTCTCCATATGATTTTCGGTCACGCGAAAGAGAAGTATTATGAAGAAGGGCGAAGTAGTACCGTCGAAATTTTCTGTCTTCGTTTTCTGTCAAATGCATAGATTTCAAGGAGAAGGAGAGAGAAATAGTTCTTGCTCTCCATTTCATGATGACGTTATTTCTTTTTTATGATGCTTTCATTCCTTTTCAGGTCATGAAATACGATCTGTTTCCGGTCGAGAAACTCTGAAAAATGCTAGAAACCTGGAAGCAGGAATCCAGTGGCCATCTGCTCATACTGTAAAGAAGTCTAAGTCAAGAAGAGATACTTCATATGAATATATTGAGTGTAACATAGAATTATGTATCTTATAATTATCTCAAATACTACCGCACACTAGATGTATGTTGAATGACATATTCCACAATACTCTTTAGAAAACAAACATTGATTTGTAATTATTGCAAATTTTTTTAAATAAAATAATTCCATACTCTAAAAAGTTAAAACATATTTCTCTTTCCATAATGTTTTTCAGCTTTTAAATACAATAACAATTATCTATCAATTTCTTTATAAAAACCGAGAGATCATAGTGATATAAAGAGAAATTTATTTAAGATAAAATTGTCTGCATTCAATCAAATAAAATTCATTTGTCTTGTTTCAATCGAATCTTCTCACAAAGTCCAGTCTAAAAAATAAGTATCTGATCATCAGTAAATATTTTTGTAACATATGTGAAAACAATTATCTTTAAACAGCTAGTCTGTTGCGCAACAATGACAGAACCATGAACTTAACCGATCCATACAAGATCTACAACAAAAATATTCGATAAACATATTAAAGCATTAGTGAATGGAGCTGATTATATGTATACTTTGGTTTCGATGGACATGTATTCTACAAAAGATTATAAATATTAATAAAATTCCTTATGCTTCCTATACCTCATGTGCTTCTATGGTGTGCAATAAAAAATTTTCATTGCAATATCTGCATGAAACAGTAGCAGGTCTAAGTAAAAACAAATCATGTAATTATTATAATAGTTTTAAAAAAAATAACTCTTTGCATACTTTGAACGTTGTGATGTAGGTCTCGATGAACATGATTGCTTCAAAAGAAAAAAGAATAGATTGATAAAAGAAATACTTTTGCCTATGTACTTCATGATTATTAATATTAATTGACGGATATTCACCATGGCAATATTTGCAGTTGCTATGAGGAACAGACCTGTACGAGAAAATGTATAAAATGTTATAGTAATCATCAAAGAATAACTGTATGCATACTTTAGAGACTGCTGAGTATCAGTTTCCGACTTTGGTGAACGTGATCTCTTTAATATAAAATATAAATCGATGAAATCAATTATCTCATCTGCATACCTCATTTTTTTTAATTTCAGGTATTGGATATTGACGACGATGATTGCTGATATCTTTTTGAAGAACAAGCCTATATCGAAAAATAACTTTGAATTTAATTACAGTCTTTAATAGACAACTCTTTGCGTACTTCTGAGACCGAGACACCGGAGGTTCAGATCTTGATGGACAGGATTTCTTGAAAAAAAATATATTCGATGATAAAAAGAATTATTTTATCCATACCGAATGATCCTTTATTTCAGCATCCAGATATTCTTGATTACAATAACGACAACGAGTGAACCGAAGAGGTCTATATAACACAAATATAATGATTAATCTGTGGAAAGTAATTGTTGACATACTCAAAATTGAGAGGAGGAGTAGCCCTCGATGGACAAGAGTTCTTCGAAAGAAATATATGGTGAGATATAAAGTAGTTTTGTCTCTACCTGATGATCTACTATTTCATTGTTTTGATATTCGTTGCCACAATAATTACAACGAGCACCAAGAATAGGTCTGTATAGCAAAAAAAACAAAAATATTAGAAAAAATATGTGAAAAATAAGTGTTCATAGACGAAAAATATTTAACATACTGAGGTTTTAATGTGCATGCTTGCTACAAAACAAAATATCAGTTAAAAAAGTTGACAATAGTATTTATACCTGATGTTCTTCTAATTGACTACCAAGACATCGTTCACCACAATAATTACATCGAGTAAAATGAACACGTCTTGTCGAAAAAATTAAAAGAAATTATTACGATAATCATTAAAAAATTTTTTTTCGTACTTCTCTGGTGAAATATGCTTTGGTAAACATGATTTCTTCAAAAAACAAAATCTACATAATGATGATCTCAATGATATTATTTATACCTGATGATTGTCTATTTCATTCTCTGGAATCTCATTGTTACAGAGATGACAACTTATGCGATCGATAATACTAAATAAATTAAAGATAATATTTTGCAGAAGGTCATAAACAAAATTTCAAATTATATTAATAATCATTTAAGAAGAGAAACTAGTTCTAAAACAAATGAAATATTTTATTATCTGAACTAGATCCAATGAATCTTTTCTATATCGAACATATTTTACTAACCACATTTTATAATGTTTAATTCTTAAAAATTCATTCAAACAAAAGTTTTCATCACTGCTTCCAAAAATATCTCGAAATGCTTGATTCAATTTAAAGCTCCTATTGGAAAAATTAAGACAAACTTTTAAATCCGTCAATTTCAACAAATATTGTTCAAATGAGTGATGACTACGATTATTTTTCTTTTGTACACTATTTCAAATGTGCACATATGGAAATTGGCTATTACACGATAATACTTAAGTAAATTAAATGAATGGATGCAAATTTCAGTTTAATCTACAGCGTTTTCCTTCGTTCAAAGATTGATCAATAAGTACTTCAATCACTTACTTAAAATCAATTTTCAAAAGTTGAATCTTCAATTGTTCAAAGCTTAATCGTAAACTCGGTTCATTATACCAACAATATTTTATGACGCTCCATAGTCGACTATCACATTCCTTCGGTTTTGATAGTTCACCCTCATTCGATTTTCGTTGTTGAATATCATCATCACTCGTATGACTTCCATTGGGAATGGCTCCTTTTGAACAAGCTTGCCACATTAACACACCCATTGAATAAACATCAGATAATTCAGAATAGTTCGATCTATCTTGATTTCGACGAATTTCTGGTGCACAATATTGCATTAGATTCTGAGGCACTCTTTTGTTTGAAACTGACTGATCCTTTTCACAAGACATACGAAAATTAGTTAATTTAACAAGATTTCTTTTTGAGTCAGATGAATTCATTTCAAAGACAAGCACATTGATACAACGCAAATCACCATGTACAATTCCTTGACTAGTAATGTAAATCATCGCATCAATGATCTGTAAAAAGATTGCTACGAGTACTTCGCCTGATGGTTGAAACTTTCCATTTTGTAATAATGTTTGCAGATCACCATAAAGTGCTCGCTCTTGTAATAACATGGTTAATTTAAGATCATTTTTAACAAAGCCAAAAGTATGAACAATATGAGAATGAGAATTAAATTTCATATAAAATGAAGCTTCTTGTTCTGCTATTTCTTCATCCATAACAATTAGAATAATTGGTGGATCTTTCTTTGGAATCCAATCTGCTTCATAAAACTTTCCATTATTACCATTAAGTGGACGTCTTTGTTTGACATTGACATTTAGTTCATATTGAGAAGTTTCTATTGAACTAGAAAATAGAAATTATATTTTAACTTCTTGAAGATAAACTTAATTTATTATTGTAATATTTAACTGCCTATACATTCTTTGTTCTAGTTGTTACTTACTCGCGACGAACATTGAAGAAACGTTTTTTCATATCTTTGAAATTATATCGTAGTTGTGGTTCATTATGCCAACAATCTTCTATGATAGACCAAATTTGTCTATCGCACATAAATGGCTTTGATAATTTTTCACCATTCAATTTTCGTTGTCGAATTTCACTATTAGTTTTTAAGGATTCATATGGAAGTTTTCCATTTGAACAAGCTTCCCACATCAAAACACCCATTGAATAAACATCTGATAGTTCAGAATAATTTGATCGGCCTGCACTTCGAAGAATTTCTGGAGCACAATATCGTACAGGAATAGGAAGTCGTCTATCATCAACGAAGGATGGATCATTTTTATGTGCCAAACTAAAGTTTGTTAGTTTAAATAAATTTTCTGTTGATTCAGAAGGATGCATTTGAAAGACAAGAACATTGGCACAACACAAGTTACCATGTACAATATCTTTGCTAATAACATAAATCATAGCTTCCACAATTTGCAAGAAGATTGTAATGAGTACTATTGGTAATGGTTGAAATTGTCGATTATTTAACAATACTTGAAGATTCCCATGAAGTGCTCTTTCTTGCAATAACAAAATTAATCCACGATTGTTTTCAACAAATCCAAATGTATAAAGAATATGATGATGAAGATTAAAGTTTGTATAAACTAATGCTTCATATTCTGATGGTTCTTTATCCATTACAATTAAGACAATTGGTCTTTCTTCTCTTGATATCCATTCTGCTTCATACGTTTTACCAAATTGACCATTCAATAAATCATGCATTTCTATGTCAATATCAAGTTCATATTCATAATGTGCTGGTGGCCTTAATGAAAAGATTAATCAATTCATTTCAATTATAGACTATAATTATTCTCATTTCCATAAAAAATTTACTGCTGAATATTGAAGGTTGATTAACTACAACCGAAGCTCTGACAAATTCTTTAGATTGATATCTTGAATTACAACTCAAGATAATATTTGATCTCTAATCGTGTGATCATTTGTGAAGATATGACGTAAATGGATGGAAAGTAAATCTAGAAGAGTTCAGCTATTTGGTTAGAGGAATTATCCAGCAGACTAATATTGTTCAAATCCTGAAACTAGAGTCTATTGGATCGGTCCTGACACAAATCCAACCAGAACAGGATCCAGAATTTTCATATTTGATGAATTCAAAAACAGCATAATAATTAGCCAGAGTATAAATGATCAATTGTGAAGTTTCTAAACCACTAGATGAATAGATTGGGTTACTCTCCGTTTTCTTCTATCATTCGATCCAAAATACAAGGCAGGTTACCATTTTTCGAATCACCTTTGATAGAAACGAGATAGAGAGCTGCGATTTTTACCATTTAAAAGAACGATGTTCGGGCTATCAATCAACATAGAATTCATCAAGACGAAAGTTGCTTTTTTTTCGGTATCTTTGGATCAATACTTTTTTCTTTGAGTATTGTCATCAATTTTCAAAATAATCTCAACTCAAATTATGTCAAAATGGAGCACAAATCACCCTTTTTTCACTATAAAATTAACATTTGCTTTTTCTTAAATTCGTTTAAAAGAAGAGGTTGAGAGATAATGAAATATGTGATGATTTTATAGCGAAAAAATGGTGATTTGAGCCACATTCAGACATAATTTGAGTTGAGATGATTGTGAAAATTCATGGCAATACTCAAAGGAGAAAGTATTGATCCAAAGGTACCGATAAAAAAACATCTTTCATCTTAATGAGTTCTATATCGATGGATGGCCCGGACATCGCTCTTTTGAATGGTGAAAGCTGCAGTTCTCTATCTCGTTCCTATCAAAAGTTATTTGAAAATGGTAACCTGCCTTTCATTTGGGATCGGATAATACTATTAAAATACAAAAGCTTTGATTTACGATGCAAAACCTGTTTTTTTCTTTCAGATAATTGAAAAAAAATCAGAATAACAGATATACAGAAAATATAAATGAAAATTGACTAGTACCAATTAAGATGTATAAATTGAATTATTTAATACTGTAATTAATTAGGATCTTCTTTACTATATATAAACTCTCAAGAAAGATTTGTTATGCACATTTTTTTACATTAGTTGTGAAAAATCTGTGTAACATAATAAAAATATTAAAGAATTGCTTTTATCTAATAAGAAAATAGTTGAATTAGAATAGATAAGTATCTCATTCCTATGATTGAATATTTTGTAATTATTTTAAAATTACTAGAAGAAAACTGATAAACTATTAATATCTATTAATAATTGTCTACTAGATATAAACTAAGAAAAATTTCTTACTCATGAAATGAAACAAAACTTCGAAGATCTCGATTATCAGAAACTTTCATATTCGATAATCTTTGTTTAATTAGTTCAAAACTAGGTCGATCTCTAGGATTATTATTCCAACAATTATTCATTAATGTCCATAGTTGATGATCACAAGTATGTGGCTTTTGAAGTTTTTCATTATTTAATTTCATTTGTTTGACATCATCATCTTTAGGAATTGATGAATAAGGAATTTCACTATTTGATAAAGCTTCCCAAATTAGAACACCCATTGAATAGATATCAGATTTTTCTGAATACTCTTCATGACGATTATTTTGAAGAATTTCTGGTGCACAATATCGAATTGGAATAACTAATTGATCTTGATGAGAAGATGGTTGATCGATCCAACGTGCAAGACCAAAATCAGTTATTTTAACTAAATTATTTTTTGTTTGAGATGGATCCAGTTGAAAAACAAGTACATTTCGACAACCTAAATCACCATGTACAATCTTTTTACTTGTAATATAACTCATTGCATCAGCAATCTGTAAAAACATTTCAATTAATATTGTTTGAGAAATAATAAATTGATTATCCATTAAGACACCAGCTAAATCTGTTAATTGTGCAAATTCTTGTATAAATATAGTTAAATTTAAACTATTTTCAACATAACCAAGTGTATGAATAATATTATTATGACTATTTAATTCTAAATAAAACCGAGCTTCACTTTCAGCAATTGTTTCATTCATTTCAACAATAATTATTGGATCATCTCTTCTTGATATCCATTTACCTTCATATATTAATTTTCCTGACATTCCATAGAGTTGATGTTTTTTTCGGACATCAATATCGAATTGATACTTTTCTATATTATATTTTGATAATATGGCCATCGATTCGTTTAGTATTCGGCTTTATTCAAATGAATCTTATAAGAACTAACACTAAAATAATAATATGTTGTTATATAAATTCATAATCTCTTAGAAATCACTGTATGTATAACATAGAAAAACTGCATTGATGTTAACGAACTAATTTTTAGAACAGGCTCGTCATTTTTTTTCAGTCTGGTCTTCTTCTAAAGACTTATCAATTTTATTATTCGAGGTCAAAAAAAAAATTGGAATAATAATTTGAAGAAAAAAATTAGGTATACGTTATTTTTTTGGAAAAAAAACATTATTTAAGGTATCCGAATTAAAATAGAAAAAGCTAAACGTTGATAAGATCAAATTGACTGCAAGTTACAATCAGTATGTAACTTGAATAGTAGCAGATGACGTTTCCATACTGAACAAACATAGATATTTCACTGCAATTATGATCCAGCATAACAGAATTTTATAAAATTATAGTTCTGCATAAAATATGAAGAAAAAAAAATGGTGGAGACATATGACTTATCTAAGCTCGAAATTATGGTCTAAAGAGCAGTAAGAACAATAGAATGCATATGCCAAAATATCCAATACTTGTGTTTGATCGAGTACTTATTAAATTCTTTAGAATCGGGAATAAAGAACATTCATGTGTTTTGAATTATTTATTCTTCTTGTCTCAAAGAAAAAGTAAAAGAATTCAACATTTTCTACGTGCCTATACCAAAGAAAAGCAAAGATGTTATTTTAACAACTTAAAATATTGTCCTGCACTTTATAAAAGAGAAGAAAAAAATTGTAAATAAAATCTTTATGTTATTTTATGCAAGATAAGCCATAAATAGCACTGCGATAAAAAAAAGATTGAAATATCCTCGCTTCGATTTATGCGAATGGGTTGATGCTTTGGTGAGTAATAAAAGTGTATTCAAAGTTTTTTTTTCTTCATACGAATAATGTAAACAAATACTATTTTAGATTTCACTAAAGAAATTCGACATGTTGTCAAGCAAGAAAAATACGTATGTAGCACTTGAATATATTTTTCAATTGCTACCTAAGAGAATAAAAAAAACAGCAATAAACAACAGATTTTATGAATGTTATTACATTAATGCACATAATGGATAACGCAGATTAAATAAGATAATATAATTTTCTTTTTTGGGTAATTCCGATATACTTTCAGAAAGTGATTCAATAGAGAATTTTTCATTCTACAAAATTGTTTCGTTTGGTTTTTAAATAGATTTTTCTTGTTGAAGCAAAATTTAAAATACCAACGCCTGCTCGATCGTCTAACTGTGATTTTCAATTTTTCGCAAATATTTATCAATGTGTGGAAGTCTTGGTTCATGAATACCAGTTCAAAAAGTAACGCAGTTAACGTCAATGGATAGAAAGTTTTATGCTCTCCGTTTCTACAACCTTTTCAAGATTTCTGGTACCATAGTTCATGAGAAAAAAGCTTGAAACTAAAACCTATTGATATCTTTCTACGCATGTAGGGAAAACATGTGTTCCTAGGCGAGTTTTAGCGTATGAAACAGTGATTCACGCGCCGTTGGATGTGAAATGTAATTCTGAACAAAATGTTGTCACTGCTAAGTCGAAGAGTACAAACGATTAGATCGTATCGAAATGAAAAAAGAACAATCACATAATCCTGTCAGACAAGATTTTTTTTGTAGGTTTTACTTCATGATTATTCTCGAAAATATTTCTTCTGAAATATATATCAAAAGATGCAGAATTTTGCAGCATGATTGCTATTTTAGAAGTTCGTTGTTAAAAAAGAAATTTCCACTATTTTCTGTCCTTTTTTAACCCTTTTGTAGAACGAAAAATTCGCTATCGCATGACCCTCTGAAAGTGAATCTAAGTGCCAAAAAAACATATGATATTGTGCAGTTTAATCTGCATCATCCGTTAGAGTGAATTTTCAGTATTAATTTATTTAAATTTTGGAATCTGTCTTCGATAAATATAAACTACCAACTTACTTGCAAAAACCTGTGTTCCATATTTGAAAATTCGAAATGTTGCAACTGTTGACTTTTGAACTAATTAATCCTAAAAATTTTTTCTATGTGGATTATTATAATATCATTAGAAAAATTTGTTTCGATGTCTTCCTTTTTCATTTTCTTAGATGACAACTGAAAATGAATATTTGAGTGTTATACATGTATTTTTCTTACTTGACAACAGGTCGAATTTCTTTATGGAAGTCAACAATAATATTTATTGGTAGTATTTTTTTATATTTTTTCGTATAAAAGAAAAAACTTTGCATAAACTTCTATTACTTGTCAAGCCATTAATTCATTTGAATGAACCAAAGGGGAGCTATTTTCCGCTCTTTTTCGTAATGTTATTTATTGTCTACCTTTTCTATCGATCACTTCTTTTAATCTAAAATAAGAAGTTTTTATTTTCTATATGAAATGTATATTGCAGAATTTAGCAAATGTTAGAAATTTACTACATTGAAATTCTTTATCAACGTATGTATATCAGTATAAATAATGAGTACCAAAAATTATTCAACAAGATTTAATTTCAATTTTTTTAACGCTGGCATAAGCATTAGAAACAATCCAGGAAATAAAAATTATTATCAGATTCGCAAAGATAGCAACTCCAGATAAACCCAAACTTCAGTTTTTCAACACCGAGAGTGCATAAATACAATTTTGTTTAGACTATATAGAACGATGGAGTAAACCATCCTCTACAAAATGAGACATTGTCAAGTTATCTGTGATGTTTTTTGGCTGAGATACAACACTTTATTTAAAAGTCAAAAAATGATTTTTCTATAGGAAATTGGAGAAAAACAATTTTCGAAGCTTTTGTAAGATTGCTGTATCTCAGCTAATAAATTTCATAGTGAACTGGACAATATTTCATTATGAGATAATTGTTTGCTCTATCATTCTATGTAGTCTAAGCGAAATAATTTTTATCCGTTCTAAGTGCTGAAAAACTAGCTTTTTATTTTTCTGGAGTTTCTGTCTTTAAGAACCTGATAATAATATTTATTTCCTTATATTTCCTTTTTGAAATAATTTTCTCTATTTAAATCACTATTTAAATTGTTTCTAGCGCCTACAACAGCGGAAACAAAATTGAAAATAAACTCTGTCGAATAATTTTGGTACCGACTGTATGTTTGATTTTGTTCTATGCTTCATTGTTTTAAATTCTTAATAGCAAGAACAAACAGGAAAAAATCAAGTATTTTAAGAATTCGAAATCACAACAAATAAGTATTCTTTATTCCAACAGGTTTGTTTCATTGAAATCGATTATACTAATTCAATAAATACAATGCAGTAAAATACTCAATGATAGAAATATGCTCTCTAAACAGGTGTTAGAAAAAAGTACCTTGAAAAATATATTGTATACATCCTTTATTTATAATAATCTTGCTAGTTTTATGAATAACTCGACGTAAGTCTTCCTAATTAATGTTACTTTTAGAACACTTGATTTGTCAAAGTCTATTGAAAATGAATTGTTAATCTCATAAATCTCTTGAAACTCTCCTAGTGAATGTACTTATTCAGCGAATAGAATTTATCATGATGAATATTAAATTGAATTAAAGGAATAATCGAATGATTTCATGTTTTTTTGATACTTTTGGTTTACTCAAGCGAATACTTGTATGAAGTTTTCCTTACAGATTTATTCATAGACAAAAAACATGAGCAATCAATATAGTACTCATACTTGTGTTTTTTTTATGAATATTTATCAAAATACCTTTTGTATTAATATGCACAAAAATAAACGGATGCTAAGAAAAAAAGAAAAATGATGTACATAATTAAATGGAAAATAAAGAAAAGATTTTCTTCTATTCTATTTCGATGGATAAGCCATTCATAGTACTTAGACGAATGGTGTCTTCGAAATTGTTCGTTTGTATAGTAATCAACACTATTCCTTTTTTTATTATTGTATGTCTCAAATTCTCTGAACAGTTTATTATTCATTTCACTTTTCATACATTGTACTGTTATCTATAGGTATGTCTTTATTTACTCTTACTTCATGAGATAATGATAAAAAGAATGTTTATTTTTACAAAATAAAGTTGAACATCTTTTTAATTTTTCATAATAAAAAATTAAATACTTAATTGTATTTTCCAAAGATAATTTCTTTTTATCTTTATACGTTAGTTTAAAAAGAAACAATGAAGATAAAGTAATGTTTTCCGTTGGTCAATTGATTATTTTTCCTAAAATTCATATTTTTGTTGCAGGTTTTAGCTATTCATTTTAATATTTAAATGAAATCCCATGTAGTACAACAATACAGAACAGGATACGGATAAATGAGTATCTTACGTAAAAAACAGTAGAGTAGATAAAAATTCTATAGGAGTACCCATTCAAAATTCATTATCCAGAGTACAGTACTCCAATATCGCACTCAGATATTCAAATACCAACATAAATAAGATTAATGACCGAGTTCAATAGTTCTGACACTCGGATCCGTGATTTTCTAGCAGAAATCCTTTGGAAAGACATAATTTCCGGCTGATAGAAGCAAAAGTCCGATAATTGAGTTCTGTGGCTGACTCTGGTCAGTTACAGTCAGAACTGGAAAAATTCGATCAACGGATTCCAGCTTCCAAGTTCCAACTATTTTCCGAAGTTTTTTAGCTGAAACCCGCCGCACTTCATTTATCTGAGGAATACTCGCAGAATGTTTTAGCGCTAGTATGATAGATTCAAACAAGCTATTAGGTCTACCTGTCATGTTTTTCTTTAAATGGTGAAGAAAAACAGTTCACTATTCGAGGAGTAAATGACATCTTCAAAAATAAATGAAATACATTTGATTAAAGAAAATGAGAAATGAATTTTGTCATTTTCGCTCAGCAAAATCATGCATAATAATAGAATATGACTATATTGTACAGTGATCCTTATCTATTTAGTTTAGAGATTTCGATCAGTTACTGCTCACGATTTTTAATTGCTTATTGGTATTCTTTTGTATAAATTGTTGCTTAATTCTTATCATCTTCTGATTTTTAAACACATTACCGTAAAATATCTAACTTGGATATCCCTTTTTTAACTGATTCATGAAATATATCAAAGATCCCCTGAATCAAAAATAGACTTTTTTAAAATGCTAACTGTCCTAGTTGTCTTTTTTTCTATGCATACATACTATATTAATCAACAAATGTTTATGTCTGAATATCTCATTTCAGTATAAATGAGATTTTTGCATTCTTAAGAAGAAGAAAGAATACACCAACTTTCGACTATCTCGTGGTATAGAGTGCTGCCGAACAGCAGTTTCGTTAGCTTGATATCTTCTCTACAACTATTATTAGCTATAGCTCTCAACAGAGAGCTAATCCAACTTAGAAAATCTTTCACTCAATTGTTAGAGTTCTCCATGTACAATGACTAACTTCGTACTAATCTCAAGGGCCAGCGTATGTTCCTATGTGGTCAGCATACTATCGAATCGGTAATCTGAAGTAAACAACCGTTCAGTGGCTGGTGATGCGCTTAGACTCGAACACAGTACCTCGTGAGTATGTACCAGACAACGTAAACAGTCTATCGTAGCAACTTCTTATAAAGAAATATTATACTTGCATTCAAGTATCATTATAATATTTGTATTTTCAAAAGAAAAAATACATACGTTGTCACAGACAGATTGATAAGCAAGACTCAAGACAACTCATGAAAGATATAGTCCAGCTGAAAATGGCCCATAGTTTGTCATCTGTCGGTCAGGTCTATGAACAGCTAGCCTGTATAGACCTCACATAAGTACATTTTGCAGATATTCGTCAATGAATATCTTCACTCGAGTAGTTTAATGAATGTAAAAAGTTAGTTGAATTGAAATTCTTCATACGTCAAGATTATAAATATTCACTCAACTCACCATTTTATTATCTGTATCTGATTTTTATGAGGTAGTTGATTGTGCAGTAAAGTCTCAAATAATTTCTTAGCGAACAACGGCAAAAAAAAGTACACACGACATCTTTACCTATAATATTAGTAACGTTTGGAGTTTTGAATGTTGAAATTCATTGTTTTGCCTGCTCTTCTGCAAGAAAACAACTCGGAAGAAAGAAAAAAGACATGCCTTTGTAATAGTTGACATTTTCCACGTTGTGTTGTTATATTGACAAATATTTTTTTTATAGTAACAGAAAAGAACGAAAAAAGATGGCTTTCAATTCTTAATCGCAAGTCGCTGGAAGCGAAATTTATTTTTCTAATGAATTATTTGCCTTTACGTTCTTTTCATTAGCAATGGTTCAAGAGAACCAACAGTAAAATTGTTGTATGACTATCCGAAGAGAAAGACATTTAGAACAATATTAAAATCAAAATATATACGTATAGTTAGTTTTTCATTTTACAAAAATATATATCATTTTTAGAAATAGCAAAAGACAACATTCAGAAAATTCTGTTCAGATAATACTAAGCTTTGTAACTAATGACATAGATCTCTAGAACACTTAGCGATATGACTAGGACAGCTTGCATGATTTATTTTATTCCGGAATTTTTGTTTTTTTTCTGTGAATCTCGATGTTCAGTTTCACATCAAACTTTAAGATTAATAATATAGATAAGTCAGGTACTTATCTGAGGGTGAAAACGAACCCAAAATCAATGTGAAAAAAACTAAATGATGACACAGAATAGGTACTTCTGACTATGGTTTTCTTCTGGTGCAGTCAAATATATATGATATACTATAAAAGATAGATTCGAATGTTTGAATATATTCTATAAATCTCATTTATATCAGACTAATACATTAATGACACTGAAATGTGAAGTTTTTATATGAATTATTTTTCTTATTGTTATAAAACTAAATTAAGGTTTATATCAGGATGTGGTATTCTAGAGATCTATTTCATTAGCTACGAAACTTAGTATTGTTTGAATGGATCTGATATTATGTTCAGTATTAACAAAACAGAATCTCTCATTTTCCTCAATGCTTTCTTTCATGATTATTTTTCTTCCGTACTGTAATGTTGTGTTAATAATAATAGTAAAACTAAAGGAAGTATTTTACGAATCACAAATCGCAAAAAATAAGCTTTCTTTTTTGTTGAAGCGAATTTCTTCTTTCATTTCGATTGATTGTATTCATCCAAAAATTTAATGAATTTTTCAATAACTTTGTTCATTAAAGTCTATTGAAAATGAATTATCTATTTATTCAATCTTGAGGAATTTAGTTTTTTTTTCTTTTTGTATTTTCAATTAACCATTTATTGAAAAATATTTTTGGTTTCACATCTCTGAAAAAAGATATACATCAGACAAATAGATTTGATTAATTTCTACTAAATAGAATGAATAATATCGTTAATACAACTTATCATTTATCATTTTTATTTGATTTAATACTGAACAATTTCAAATTTGAATAGACAAGTTTAAGACATTATCAATATAGTATTTCATATGCATAGAAGTCGACAATTGTGTTTAAAATAACTAATAGTTTTTCGAACGAAAGAAACTAAAACATGGACAAATGGAAGCCAAAAAAGACCTACAATAAAAATTTTTAATAAAGATATTATGGAAATAATAAATTAAAATGAAGATATACCTTGATTTTGTTGGACATGATTCCTAAAAGCAAAAAGAAAGATATATCTTAATGAAATTAATTGTCTAATCTGTACCTCGTGAGCATCTATTCTATGTAGTGGAAATTGTTTATTACAATGTTGACATTGAATAAATTTTGGAGAACTACACAAAATTCATACAGAAATATTATGATAACTATTGAAACGTGAAAATTTACGTACTTATAAGTATTATTACCAGTAGGATGTTCTAGTGAACATGTTCTCTGAAAAAGACAATATCAGATAGTAAGATCGATAATTTTTGCTTTACCTGATGATCAGCTAATTTATTGTGTAAAAATTCTGTTTTACAATTATCACATTTGACATACAAGGATACAGGTCTATGCAAAAATAAAACATAAATTAGTTTGATAAACATTAAAAAATGATTATTCAAATACTCAATAGTAATGACAGGAGGTGAAATAGGTCTTTGATGACAAACTAACTGTATGACAATAAACAATATCATATGATAAAACTTAAGTTTTTATCTATACCTGATGCTTTTGTATCAAATTGTCTGGATATGATTCATCACAATATATACATGAAGAATAATCATAAAGTCTATAGAAAAAAAATCTCACAATAAAAATGTAAACATAAAAATTATTGATTTACGTTTTAGATGATTCGACAGGTTTTCGCTTCATTGTACATGATGTCTTCAATAGACAATTTAAATTAATGAAGTAAATGATCTAAGCTGTACCTGATGATTTTCGATCATGTCAACTGGATATTTTTTATGACAATAATTACATGGAATAAAGCGAATTTTATGTCTATGAAAAAAAAGAAAGTGATGTCTTGATGATAATCAAAAACTGAATGCTTATTTACTCAGGAACATTGACAGAAGGCAGCGACAGTACACATGAATTCTTCTGATGATTGGTCATTTCATTTTCAGGAATATAATCATCACAACGCATGCACTGTATAAGACGGACTGGCCTAATGTCAATGAATGACACAAACAATATTGTAATGATCGAAGAAGTTATTGAGATAATTATGTTGCACAATGAAATATCATGCAGGGAAGGAAAAATAAAATTTGATGAACTTCTCATTCTGCTGAAGAAATACCTATATCAATGCTTTATCTTTACAAAATACCAACTGTTTCGAATGTTCTCGAAAAAAAAGACATGCATAGTTTTGGGACAGTTCAAACTAAATAAATGATTTTTTTTTACAATTTGATTTTATATTTATTGAAGATTTATTCAATATGTTTCAAATAAAATATGCGTTCTTATCAATACTGGATTCAAATTAGTTGTATTGATGTACTAATGCGAGTCGTCTAGGATTTTCGGACAAACTTATAAGTCAAATAAGGTACAAATACTCGAAATAGATATTGAATCAGAGAGATCCATCTTAACACTTTTCTGAAAGTGACACCGTACAAAATCGATCACTTTCGGAAAGATTCACATTAATCCTAGAAGAAAAGTCAATGAAGTTTGTGAAAATATGCCAAGATTAAGTATTTGGACTGATGCACAAGTTTATGCATAACCACAAATAATAACTTACTGAATTACCAAAAAATATTTCTCATTAAAACTATTCAAGGTACAGTTTTTTCACTAACAGTCCCACATAGAAGATTTGCAGAATCTTATCAAAATGTATCGAATTTCGATAACACTGTTAGCAGAGAATAACAGCATAGAGAACAATATTGTTTCTCATATAAAGTTCTATTTCATTAAAACAAGGAAACACAACATCAGATGTTAGTATAAAGAGAACTCATATATAACTATGGAACCTGTTTTGCAATCGTTGAAAGTCAATGGTTAGTGTATAACACCATAAAATAGAATCGAAAATGAAATTACAATTATTTCTGAAGAAACTCAATGTAGAGTTTTTTTTTCAAATGGTTTGAAAGAAATTAACTTATATTTTTCATTTGAACGCAATCATCTTGAACAGCTGGTATAGATGAAGTGATATAAAACAGAACTTGAAGGAATATCCAATGAAATTATCAAAACACATCATATAAGATGCTTGCACGGTGAAAAAACCAATTCAGTATTTTGTTTTCTTTCGTACGAACTTTCGGAACGCCTTGTATTAGATCCAATTGAGATTATCTATAGTAAACATATTATACTACGTTTCCTTCAGCTTGTCCATATCGAGCAAAAAGACTTTTTTGTAATCTTTTCTATGCATGCAAAATTATTTTAATTTCAACTTTGGCAAAAGTTCAATCGATTAATGATAAATACGATCAGTTTACTATACACTATGCGACATACTGGAATATTTGGACTGATCACTGCAGAAGGAATCTGCATTGAATCAAATGAATAGATGAGTATGTTAGTCATAGTCAAACATCAATGATTAACAAATAGCCTAAATTAACAGTTCTGCAACTTACTCGATTTGAATATTGATCAGTCTCTGTTTTATCTCTGTGAATTTGTATCGTGATTCTGGTTGACGATGCAAACAGTCGAAAATAACTTCCCATAGTTGGGGCTGACATTGTTGCGGCTGTGATAATTTCTCTTCATTCAATTTTCTTTCTTGAATACCACCATCCCTTGTATGATGCCCATACGGAATGGCTCCTTTTGAACAAGCTTGCCACATTAACACACCCATTGAATAAACATCAGATAATTCAGAATAGTTCGATCTATCTTGATTTCGACGAATTTCTGGTGCACAATATTGCATTAGATTCTGAGGCACTCTTTTGTTTGAAACTGACTGATCCTTTTCACAAGACATACGAAAATTAGTTAGCTTAACAAGATTTCTTCTTGAGTCAGATGAATTCATTTCAAAGACAAGCACATTGATACAACGCAAATCACCATGTACAATTCCTTGACTAGTAATGTAAATCATCGCATCAATGATCTGTAAAAAGATTGCTACGAGTACTTCGCCTGATGGTTGAAACTTTCCATTTTGTAATAATGTTTGCAGATCACCATAAAGTGCTCGCTCTTGTAATAACATGGTTAATTTAAGATCATTTTTAACAAAGCCAAAAGTATGAACAATATGAGAATGAGAATTAAATTTCATATAAAATGAAGCTTCTTGTTCTGCTATTTCTTCATCCATAACAATTAGAATAATTGGTGGATCTTTCTTTGGAATCCAATCTGCTTCATAAAACTTTCCATTATTACCATTAAGTGGACGTCTTTGTTTGACATTGACATTTAGTTCATATTGAGAAGTTTCTATTGAACTAGAAAATAGAAATTATATTTTAACTTCTTGAAGATAAACTTAATTTATTATTGTAATATTTAACTGCCTATACATTCTTTGTTCTAGTTGTTACTTACTCGCGACGAACATTGAAGAAACGTTTTTTCATATCTTTGAAATTATATCGTAGTTGTGGTTCATTATGCCAACAATCTTCTATGATAGACCACATTTGTCTATCGCACATAAATGGCTTTGATAATTTTTCACCATTCAATTTTCGTTGTCGAATTTCACTATTAGTTTTTAAGGATTCATATGGAAGTTTTCCATTTGAACAAGCTTCCCACATCAAAACACCCATTGAATAAACATCTGATAGTTCAGAATAATTTGATCGGCCTGCACTTCGAAGAATTTCTGGAGCACAATATCGTACAGGAATAGGAAGTCGTCTATCATCAACGAAGGATGGATCATTTTTATGTGCCAAACTAAAGTTTGTTAGTTTAAATAAATTTTCTGTTGATTCAGAAGGATGCATTTGAAAGACAAGAACATTGGCACAACACAAGTTACCATGTACAATATCTTTGCTAATAACATAAATCATAGCTTCCACAATTTGCAAGAAGATTGTAATGAGTACTATTGGTAATGGTTGAAATTGTCGATTATTTAACAATACTTGAAGATTCCCATGAAGTGCTCTTTCTTGCAATAACAAAATTAATCCACGATTGTTTTCAACAAATCCAAATGTATAAAGAATATGATGATGAAGATTAAAGTTTGTATAAACTAATGCTTCATATTCTGATGGTTCTTTATCCATTACAATTAAGACAATTGGTCTTTCTTCTCTTGATATCCATTCTGCTTCATACGTTTTACCAAATTGACCATTCAATAAATCATGCATTTCTATGTCAATATCAAGTTCATATTCATAATGTGCTGGTGGCCTTAATGAAAAGATTAATCAATTCATTTCAATTATAGACTATAATTATTCTCATTTCCATAAAAAATTTACTGCTGAATATTGAAGGTTGATTAACTACAACCGAAGCTCTGACAAATTCTTTAGATTGATATCTTGAATTACAACTCAAGATAATATTTGATCTCTAATCGTGTGATCATTTGTGAAGATATGACGTAAATGGATGGAAAGTAAACCTAGAAGAGTTCAGCTATTTGGTTAGAGGAATTATCCAGCAGTATGATATTGTGTAAGTCCTAAAGCTAGATTTTGCAAGGTTGGCTCTAGTCCAGATTCGACTGAGACCGAGTCTAAAATTTTCAAATACTATGGACTCAACAACAGCATAATAATTAGCCAGAGTATAAATGATCACTTCTGAAGTTGATAAACCACTAGACAAATAGGCTAAGTTATTTTTCGTCTTCTATAAAGAGAGAAAAGCTTTGATTTACGATGCAAAACCTGTTTTTTTCTTTCAGATAATTGAAAAAAAATCAGAATAGCAGATATACAGAAAATATAAATGAAAATTGACTAGTACTAATTAAAGTGTATAAATTGAATTATTTAATACTGTAATTAATTAGGATCTTCTTTACTATATATAAACTCTCAAGAAAGATTTGTTACGCACATTTTTTACATTAGTTGTGAAGAATCTGTGTAACATAATAAAAATATTAAAGAATTGTTTTTATCTAATAAGAAAATAGTTGAATTAGAATAGATAAGTATCTCATTCCTATGATTGAATATTTTGTAATTATTTTAAAATTACTAGAAGAAAACTGATAAACTATTAATATCTATTAATAATTGTCTACTAGATATAAACTAAGAAAAATTTCTTACTCATGAAATGAAACAAAACTTCGAAGATCTTGATTATCAGAAATTTTCATGTTCGATAATCTTTGTTTAATTAGTTCAAAACTAGGTCGATCTCTAGGATTATTATTCCAACAATTATTCATTAATGTCCATAGTTGATGATCACAAGTATGTGGCTTTTTAAGTTTTTCATTATTTAATTTCATTCGTTTGACATCATCATCTTTAGGAATTGATGAATAAGGAATTTCACTATTTGATAAAGCTTCCCAAATTAGAACACCCATTGAATAGACATCAGATTTTTCTGAATACTCTTCATGATGATTATTTTGAAGAATTTCTGGTGCACAATATCGAATTGGAATGACTAATTGATCTTGATGAGAAGATGGTTGATCAATCCAACGTGCAAGACCAAAATCAGTTATTTTAACTAAATTATTTTTTGTTTGAGATAGATCCAGTTGAAAAACAAGTACATTTCGACAACCTAAATCACCATGTACAATCTTTTTACTTGTAATATAACTCATTGCATCAGCAATCTGTAAAAACATTTCAATTAATATTGTTTGAGAAATAATAAATTGATTATCCATTAATACACCAGCTAAATCTGTTAATTGTGCAAATTCTTGTATAAATATAGTTAAATTTAAACTATTTTCAACATAACCAAGTGTATGAATAATATTATTATGACTATTTAATTCTAAATAAAACCGAGCTTCACGTTCAGCAATTGTTTCATTCATTTCAACAATAATTATTGGATCATCTCTTCTTGATATCCATTTACCTTCATATATTAATTTTCCTGACATTCCATAGAGTTGATGTTTTTTTCGGACATCAATATCGAATTGATACTTTTCTATATTATATTTTGATAATATGGCCATCGATTCGTTGAAAATTCGATTCTACTTTAATGAATCTAGTAAAAATTAACTCTGAAAGTATAATATCATGTTTTGCTAGTTCATCAAACATCAGACCATTGAAGATTAAACAGCTAACGATCAGAATAGACCAATATATTTTGGCTCTAGCTACCTCAAAAAGACTAATCGCTTTGCATTCTATCTATAGCGTCTCAAACTTCATCAGAAAATCACACTATTAAAATCCGACTCAGAAGATTCGATTGTTACACATGAAACCAGTGTTCAACCTTCAGCTATATATAGACATTAATTCATCAAAATAATAAAGAAGCGGCCTGTTATTTTTACCATGTGCTATGCTTTGAATGAATCTTCACTTATCTGAGAGCGGCACACCTGATGGACTGTTTGAAGTTCTAATATTACAATTGAGTCTACAGAAAAGCTGATAAGATTTCTTCTTTTGTTTATCATTTAAAGGATTCACAATGTCTCATGTCATATATATTTTCGATGTTTAAGAGCACGAAAAAATAGAAAAAGATGAATAAAATGAAGGAGACAATTTTCTTATTTCTAGTACATGCTCATTGAACCATGCTAGATAAAATAAGCATCTTAGTCATTATCCGTCTATAAATCGTTTAGAAGTTTTCAAGTATGCATGAAAAATATTTGCAAAAATATGCATGTGAATGTGCTTTTTTCACTAAGAACGCAAAAAAATGGTTCAGGAACGTGTTCCGTACGATATGTTTAATTAGTATAAAAGCGCATTCTTCCCTACAAAAATCTTTGTATTCGTTTATCCATATTACTTATGTTATCATATTTACACCATTCTATAGTATGTTTCTTAGTAACTTCTTTGCTGACAATTATAAAGATTTCGGAAAGATATACAGTAAAACCTCTCTAATCTGAACACCTTCGGGACCAGTAAAAAGCGTTCATAATAAGAAGGTGTTCATAAAGGAGAGGTCTATTTCCAGCAAAAATCGATTTTTGGGACCGGCTAGAAGCGTTCGTAATAGCGAGGTGTTCATTAAGGAGGGGTGTTCACATATAGAGGTTTTACTGTATTATAGTCAGTATTGCAAAAGTCAAAGTATAGTCAACATATAGATGATCCTTGTATTGACTTATACTCGATCTGTTGAGTGTTTCAGCTCTACTTCGACTTTTGCAATATTGGTTACGATATATCTTTCCCAAAATCTTTATGATTTTTAGCAAAGAAGTTACTAAGAAACGTTGGATAGAATGCTGCAAATACAATAAAATAATTCAATATGTATAAGCGAATAGAAAAAGACTTTTGCAAGGAAAAAGATAAAAATAGGATTCTTACTCACCTCCTAAAATGTAAATCGAAGTAATCTATATAATCCTCATTGCAATTAGAGTATTGGTGTCGACGAAGTTAGATAATTCGAAGATGATTCTAGGACAGAAATTCAGGTATATTTTCTTCTTAGCTTGCTTCAATTCATCAGATTCTCACCTAGGGATATATAGTTAGTCTGATATGTCTAACTAAAGATGCACATTGCCCATATAAAGTATTTTCAATACACAAATTCCCTATTAATTCTAGTTTCTTTTTCTATTTACGTATCTGAATTGTTCTTAGATAATCTCAACATTTCTAAGATATATGTCTGTGTATCGTTTCATATCGTGCAAACCGGATGTGAGTGTAAGGGTATAGACTTAAGGGTATATGCCGAAGATTACAGGTGTGGAACATATGTATAAGCGGATGTTTTACGAGCAAGACGTAAGGATTTATTAATAACTATCGTTTCGGTGCATTACGGTTTTAAATCTTAATGTATACCGCCGTGTCCGTCGAAAGTACGACCGTTTTACGACAAAGGTATCACTGTAAACGATGTACATATTCCACCGTGTATAATATGGCGTCACACGACCATAATACTGTGTCTACCAAAAAGTAACTTATTGCTCGTTTACAATTATCGTAATGATGTACCTGGGTAGATAGTTTTGAAGGTTGTAAAAGAACAATTGAGATTTATTCAAAGGAGTTTTTAATTTACAAATAGAAATAAGCAATGATTTCTGTGAAAATATTTATGCAATGAAAATACGGATGGTCGGAATTTCACCAATGGCGAAATTGCAGGGGATGTATTGACGAAATTCCAGAATCCTGAAAATAGAGTATATGTCTCTTTCTTTCCAATTCAATTTCATTATAACACTACAAATCCATCAATCAGAGATAGAAGATATGAACAGAAAAGAGAAACAGATGAATGTTTTCACAATGTATCAGTTTAATTGACGAAGAAACAGGACATGGTAAGGATTATAAAGAAATAAAAGAAAAGAGGGGGGGGGGACAATAAAAATGAAAGATGGCTGTTATCGGTATTAGTCATTAATTGTATTTGGAGAGAACGAAACACTATGCATGCTTTATTGAATTATTCGGCGAATGAATAGATTATAAAAATATGTGAGTTTTTTTTTTTGAGAACAAAGCAACTAATATTCCTCGGCAATCTATACAAGAAGCTAGTAACAAAAAAGAAGTTGAACTAAGAATTGAGTAAAGTATTATGACGACGATAAACAAATAAGCACTACTTTTTTTCTCTTCAAAAATAATCTCTTCTAATGAATTGAAAATATAATAAAAGTAATACTCTAACCATGGATCATTATTAAGAATTTTAAACAGCACTGTATGAATGATCATTGCATAAAAAAATTTTAATAGAGATCTTATCACTGTCTCATGTCATCTATGAATTTTCCAACTTACTCAGAAGTTCTTTTGAATCAAGGTAAACTGGTTTTATTCATTTGCACTTGTCCTGTTTATTATACAACTATGTCTTTCTGTCCTAATGTTCGAAAACGTTCTCTTGTGTTATAGTCTTATGTTTGTCTCAAGAACAGGCCTTTGTAAGCAATATATTTTTGAGTGTGATATTAGCAAATGTTTGTCTATATCTTAGCAGATTTTTACTCATACTATGAATCCAAATATTCGTTTAAATTATTTATGAAGTAACTGATTTTTTTTCGAAAAAAGATCCATTCGAAAGAGGCTATAAATCCAGTTGATTGAAGAGAGAAAAAATGTTTTCTATCATGACCATGTTTTTAGATGACATTACAAATAGAAAAATGATGTGTTTAAACGAAAAACTAGCGTTTCTTTCTAAAACTTGCCGTAGAAGTGTTGTCTTATACGATTTTTTTCTCATGCGTACTTTTGTGACGTGAACGACAATATAACATATTGTTTTACCTTAATGCTTATCAAATAATGTGATAACACTGATAACTAATAATAAAAAATATTCGTATCATTTGACGTTTTTCTTCATATTTGCGGAGGAACCATGTGAAAAAACCTATACCTATCTCTTCTTTTCACTATACAAATACAATGAGTATATATAACAACCCAAAATATTTACATTCATTCGATTCAGAATTACACATTAAATTTTTTTATTAGATATCTCCCTGAAGTATATCAATGTTCACTGTACTCATTATTCTATCAGCTATGTTTAACTTTTGTCAAAGTACATAATTTTTGTAGTAAACCTTATTTGTATTGTTCGATCGTTAATAAAATCAATGAATAAAAGAAAATTATACGTCGCATTTTTTCATTCAATATAGACGTCACCCTTAAGTTTTGACTATTAAAATTTACCTTTTCGTTTGTTCTTTTGAAAAAGTAATAAAAAAGCAGAGCAAGAAATGTGCACATGTCTGCTTGGTTTTCTTCATCTCGTTTTTCTCTTTTAATGCAAAGTTTTTAATATTAAGAAAAAAGAATGAAAAAACAATACTCTAAACTCTTGATGACAAGTCGTAGGAAGTAAGTTTTCTTTTTTTTTCCAATAAATGATTTTTATTTTCATTGACTATAATAGATAAAATATGCAACACAGTAGAAGATCTAATGATGTAAATATTTTATTATTATGATAGACAGGTGTCGACAAGAGTATATTTATAAATGCATTTACAAATTATCGTGTTTATATTAACTAGATAGAGCTAGGAATGGTTCTATCCATGTACTCATACCACTTTCATTTTCTATTACAAATTCAGATACATTTGAAATAACAAATATAAATAGTGACGAAGACAATGATCGACCAAAACACGATAAAGTTGGTGAATCACGTACGTAAATACGTCAAAGTTTTGTATTTCTGATTGGTCATCGATATTTACGTTGAATCAATACATCACGGGCTGATAGTAATAAACGTAGAGTAGAAAGAGATGCAAGCGATTGCTAAGATATTCTTGCTTATATCAGTCAATATGAACATGTTAAATGGTATCTGTAGGTTGTTTAAACCAAGTGAAAAACATTTATCAATTATATTTCGTTTTTGTATTAAAGAATAGCTTCGTGATCTACATATTAGTATTCTAGAAAGTCTTATGTTTATTTTTACAAATACTCGATCAAGTCTTTTTTATAAATCTCGAAGTACGTCAATTCGCTTAATAATTCAAAAATTAACTCGACCCATTGCTGAAGTTGCTATATTAATTGAAGAGAATGCTTTCTTTTGAAGAGACAGATCAATCTGAGTTAATACTATAAATAGATACGGAAATTATACCACTTAGTCATTCAAGAACAATGTGTACAAGTGATTAATATGCTCAATTTATTATTGTTAATAATATGGAAAAAGCTTATTATGTAAAACATTGTCATCCTCGTTATTATATACGTGGAATAGAACAAGAAGTAATCTGTCAAAATTTCGCTCCGTAGATTAAAACGAATTCAGTTTTTTGGTATGATCAGAGATTTACTAAGAAAGTTCGGGCTATTAGTACAGGTAAAAGTTCATTGGCTGAGCCGCCTGTTGATGGTGGCCAAAGTTGTTAAGAGGTCTCAACCATCGCTGTTCCCCCAAAATAATTGATAAAAATTTCAGCCGCCGTCGACGCATAAAAATAGATAGTAGATTTTTGAAAGTTTTTGACGTCTAGGATCAGTTTTCATGGATGCTCACGTCTACTGTCTTATCACCAATTATTTCCCTTTTACGTTTCAAAATTTGACGGAACTAGAAAAATCTCTAAAAAAGATATTGAAAAATTTCAGTCACTGTTATCGGAGTGTCAGATATTTCTAGCTGCCGCCGATCAATGCGTTAGCTTATATTTGTAGGTATTCGTCAAATGACACGAAATTATGCTCGAAAGCAATTTGATGAAGTTTTCTTATCTTGTGATTATTGTCATATTTGACTATCAAGAATAGTGTTCTTGCAAATCCAATCGTCATATTGTCTTTTCTAGCGTTTACGTAATGCTTTTATGTCCTCTTTTTATTGTTTTGTGTACTGTTCATATCGTAACTTTTATGTTACTATTGGTCATAAGCAGAGAATGAATTAAAAATAATCAAGTGTATTACAGAGAGAAGCATAATTAATTACTACATTCTTTAAAGTATATTTGAATAAATGTTATTTGTTATCATACAACGTACAAAGGGGACTACACTAGGAAAAATACTCAGTTTAGTGAGTATCCACTAATCGAAGTAGACATAACAAGGTACTTAAAAAAGTACTCTAATACTAATATGTGTCTGGTATTTGGTCGGATACTATGTTGAAAATCTTTCAGTACATAAGTGCTGGATACCCTCATTGAAAATGTTTCTAGTGGTTGAATAATTGAACAGGGAGAGGTTTCTCTTGTTCAAATGTTCAAGTACTCATTATATACCCGAAAGCATTTAAGAACTGAAAACTACCAGTCAGTGATGGAATCGTTCAGTTAAAAATAGTCATAGATCAAACCGCCAGCTCTAATTCCAGTGGTATTCTAGTAACAGTATATTCTAAACTCAGTATTTCCACTAGGTCAGTAACAAACAGATGAGAAGAATGGAATTAAAAACTTTTTTCAACAATCGAATCTTAGTTTTAAAAATAGGTCAATTGTTCAAATCTTACTGAAACACATCGAAAGTTACATTGATTTTTGAAATTTTGTTCTATATTTACAGGTATATGTAGTGTTTGCGACTGTCATTGAAGCAACCGTATGCATATTACATACGAATATTGTAAATGTTTCACTTATGTTAAAATAAGAAACGCTAAAACCGAAGATATTGTACTTACTGCAATCGAAAAACTCTATTACCGGTTTAAAAGAAGAAGAAGAAACATCGATGCTAAAAGTATATAGTCAACTTTCTAAGTTTCTTCATAAAATCAATGATGCTCTTGTTGATTAAATGAATTATTTTATTCAAGAAGAATAAAAGAATCAAGAAATTGGTATTGGAAATGTTTATGTTATAGATGCTTCTGAAAAATTAAGAATATAAAATAAACAAGAAATCAATTTATTTCAAAAAACATAAACATCGTTACTGAATAATTCAGATGATATTGAAATCGAAGAAATATTTATACTTTGATTTATGAGTTTTTATCAATTACCTGTGAATAGTCGTAAGATTCGAAAACAATTTGTTCAATTACCAGGAAAAGTACTTTTGTTAGAAATAATGTTACAATTAAAGGAAATTTTTCATTAAAACAAAAATCGATAGCTAGTTGATTTAAGTAAAATATCTTTTAACTAAACTTTAATCAAATTTTCTTTACCACATGTTGGGCTTCTTTTTAGACCTACACATTTTGTGACAAAATACAATTTCTATAATCATTTAAGACAAGGTCAGTGTTTATAAAACTATTCCATTCATATCAATTTATCATCATAAAAACATTTATGTATAATGTAAAATTCTTCGATTACACTAGAATATGTTCTATCATGAGTTATTTGTTCCTTATTTACTCAGTATTTTGTATTACGCATGACTCGAATATATGATGTTCAAGGTTGAATATTCTAGAAATAATTGAGTTGAAGTCTGAAGATTTCATCATTTTGCACACAAAAAAAAACGTAAGAATAATAGATTGGGAAAAAAGCATTATTATAGAATTTTTTTAATATTTATTTGATTAAGAAAGGTGACGCAAGTCTGAGATAGAAGAGAACGACCTTCATTTTGTCGTCATCAATAGGATACTTCTATTGGATTGTGTTTCGTTTTCTTTTTCTGTTCTTTTTGCATACACTCTCAACTTCATAGACAGTAAATAATCAAAACTTTTTACTTTTTTCAACAGAGAAAAAAAATAGATTGTTATTTTAAAAAAAAAAGCATGATAGTAAATAATTGATGATCACTCTCTAATTGAAGAGTTAATTACACGTATGTTTTTATCTATTTTCTTTGCTTGTATAATCTTAATAAAACTTGATCTTGTTTTTCAAGTAGGAAGATGAATATTGCAAGTGATATTGGTATTGAATATTTTCATAAGGGTTCTTGTATTTACAATTTTACTTCGATTTGATTTTACCTTGAAAAAAGAACCAGTGCAATCATCTACCATGTAAATCATTCGAATTCTTTTAAGTTCAAATCATATATAAACACAATTTAGTATATATTTATATATCCTTGAAATATTAAACTGAGCAAGTATAACGTTTAAAGTTGAGAATAATACAATTTTTTTTGTCTTAAATGTATTATTGTTTTTATTAAATCCCGACGATATATATTTTTTTTTCACCTTGAAACCTTTGCGTCTTGAACTACAATCAATCGTTTTATTGATTTATGTAAATGAGCAATACAATATAATAAGATATACCTTCGTCATAAAACACATCTGATCATGAATATGTATGAACAGTGAAAAACTGAATCCTTTGTTAAAATTTATGTATTATCAAAATTTACATCAGAAATTTTTGATAAATGTAGTGAAAAGTTTTGTACTTTTAGTAAATGACATTAGATATATGTGGATCAATTTAAAGTTCACATTGTCAAATTAATAAATTTAAAATGTAAGTTGCTCATAGCATACACTGAGCGAGACAATGGATTTTTTATGTATTCACAGTAAATGTAAAATATCCACTGTCAAAATTTTAACATTATTTATTTTTCTTTCTTCATGATGATTGGATAGAGCTCGTCGAGTTGTATAAGAAAAAGTATGGTTCAGTTTTTGGTCTTGTTCTCTTGTATTTGAAGATAATGATATCTTGGACCTTTGTCATTAATTTTTTTAAAGTTTGAAACACACGTTTTCTTATGCAACTCGCCGACCTTTATCCAATCATCACGAAAAAAGAAAAAGAAATAGTGTTAAAATTTTGACTTGTGGGTATCTTACACATAATGTAAATACTTAAAAGATCTATTATCTCGGTCGGTGCATGCCATAAGTAATTCATATTTTAAATTTGTTAGTTTGACAGTGAAGGTTTTAATTTGATCTGAATATATCTAATATTATTTACTAAAAGTTTTACAAAACTTTCTATTATTATAATCACAATTATGTTACAGGGAAGCTGCTGAGTATTCTTTATGTATTGATCCTAAAATTTATTGAAAATATTGTACATTCATATGATCTTCCACTAATTCTTCGTTGAACATTTTGTTTTCTGCAAATTACGAACTATTTTATTTTCAATAATATTTTTTTAATGTTTTCTTTGAAAAATTAGAGTCTTGCAAGTAAAATATTTTAATTTTTTTTTTATAGATTGTTAAATTAAGGCTTATATTCATACGAGTGAGAATATGGGCGAAACTTCGCGTAATCAATCATGTATGAACTTTCTCAAACCTCAAGATGGATATCCAATTGAACGGAAAGTAACCGATGTTTCAGGTCGATTAGGTTCACTTTATGACGCTTCAACAGATAATTTAATTGATCGACATTCTGTTCAAAGAGTTCAAAGAAAAATACCACGTAAACGTACTATATGTCGACTGTTTTCAGGTGATCAATCGAGAGAACTCATTAGTTTTCTACGAGATATCGATTTTAATGATGCACTTCGACAAAGTATTTCTCTTCAAATGGTTACACCATCAGGCACTAGCCGTCTTATTGAATATAATCAACCTATTGATGAGAGAACTCGTTTTCTATATTATGCTTATAGAGCTAGAAAAGAAAAATTAAATGTTAAAGCTCGAAAAGCTGATAGAATTATTGGAGCACCATTAAATCCAACTGAGGCAACTCATATGATAACGAAAATCTTATGGGGCATAGAAATTTTATGTATTATACAAATTCCAAATAATCAATCGGTTAATGAAATCGATCAATTACTTCGTTATATTTGTGATCAACTTAAAAATAATCAAAACCCAATTCAACTTAATAATACTGATCGACGTCTCATTAATCAATTGACTAATATTACTATATTTGGATCTGAAACATGTGTTGATCAACCGAATACATCAATATTAACTGTTCTCAATAGAATACAAGATTGGCAAAATAATACGAATTTTCATCAACCACTTATATATACAATGCAACCATTAAGATGGCTTTATAATAGTCCACAATTTTCAGAACCATGTTATTTGCCTAGTCCAACTAATCCTCATATTGCACGAGTCGAAATGGTAATTAATCGTATAAAAAATCAGATAAAAGATCTTTCAGAATTCTTTCAAAATTTTCCGACAAATTTTTCAAGTGCAACACTACATCAACGTTTAAAAGATTTTCAACAACAATATCGTTTTTTATTAGATTCACAAGATAATCTTCAAGAACGTCTTAAAAGAACACTTGTAGATGTTCGTCGACAACGTGTTAAACCAACCGTATTAGACCATATTATTGCTGATCAACGTTATGAATGTTTACGTAAAACTGAAATAGAAAAATTTCGAACTAGTGTTGAACAATTATTCAACAAATCGATATTAATCAGAACCTTAAAGGACAATCAAATTGAATATGTCAATGCATTCGATATTCGTTCTAATCAAACACTACCAACGACAATTGATGATATTGATGCTATACTTAAACGTGCTTACTCTAATGAAAATGTTCTTGTAATTCTTTGGTATTCAAGTGATCGTTTACGTCGTATACAACAGGATAGATGGCAACAAATATATCAAGAATTAACTTCGGAACGTCAAAATGTAGCACAACGAATAAATTTAGTCTATGTTGATTTCACTTACTTTGAACAAAGATTAGAAAGTTTTATCATTGTGAAATTATCATTGACAGGAACACCGATATATCAGCGAGATCCTACACCAGGTAAGAAATCAAGTTAGAAGGGGAAAAAAAGAAGAGAAATTCATATTTTATTTAGTTTCATAGATAACATTTAATTTTTCATCTGCAGAAAAAAATCGACTAGCTTAAAGCTATTTCGTTAAAATTACTTGAGCTAACCCTAATAATTACAATGACTATGTAGTGCATAAACAAGCATACTCAGCATTCTATCGAATGGATTATTTATAATCCATTTTCTAAAAGTTATCGTTTCTTAATTGATAGTATAGATGCTCGAATATAGTCTTCATCTTGTATTTATCAAATAACTTAATCAACAAATCATAGTCACTCAAGATTAAATCAGATTGTGTGAAACTAGTGAGGAAGAAATTTTGTAGAGTTAATGAATCTGCCAGTATTCAAACCAAATATATATTTTTATTTAGAAATAGAACATCAACCATCACGTACTGTTCCATCTTCACCACCCACAAAGAAAAGAGCTATATCAACATCTCCACCAATAAGATCACCATCTCCATCGATAAGACCACCATCTTCACTAATAAGATCACCCTCTCCATCAATAAGACCGCCATCTTCACTAATAAGATCACCATCTAGATCTTCATCACCACCGATTGAAATTAATGTACTACTCTTGGGAGAAACCGGTGTTGGAAAATCTACATTCATTAATGCATTTGTTAATTACTTAAAATTTGATAATCTTCAACAAGCTGAACGAGGTGAACCAGTTGTATTAATTCCAGTTTCATTTCTTATTACTGTTGGTAATCAATTTGAAGAATTTATTGTCAAATTTGGTAATATTGATTCAAATGAAAATCATGAACATCAAGGTCAATCAGTAACACAACAATGTAGATCATATGTATTCGATTTGAATGATAGATTACGTTTACGTTTAATTGATACACCTGGTATTGGTGATACACGAGGAATTAATCAAGATATAAAAAATATTGATCATATATTGAATTATATTAATAATTTATCTCATTTAAATGCTATTTGTTTATTACTTAAACCAAATGCTTCTCGATTAAATATTTTTTTTCGTTCATGTATTAATCAATTATTAACTTATTTAACACCGATTGGTTATAATAATATAATTTTTTGTTTTACAAATGCTCGTGCAACATTTTATGCACCAGGTGATACTGGTCCATTACTTCGTAAAATGCTCAATGATCAACATCTTAATGATATTCCATTTAAAAAAGAAAATACATTTTGTTTTGATAGTGAATCATTTCGATATTTAGCTGCAAGAAAATGTGGTATTGATTTTGATGATTATCAAAGACAAGAATATATTAGTAGTTGGAATACATCAGTAACTGAATCAATTCGTTTACTTAATTTTATTCAAAGATGTCAACCATACTATGCAGACGAATGGATATCTCCAAGAAAAACTACTCTTGATATATGTATGCTTGCTCGACCTCTCATGGAAACATTACGATTAATAATTTATAATTCGAAATTAAACGACGTTAGATTAAATGCTAATCAAATTATATTAAATTCAAATCCAATTGATATTGACATGTGTACTCATTGTGCACAAATTAATCTTGTCGACCTAGGTCCATTTTGGTTAACTCAATATCAACCACCTATTGTGAAAACTAATGCAAATCAACATCGTCATTGTCCAACAAATGGAAGACATTTTTTTATTGAATGTCTAACAACATATGGATTTATGGCACAATCAGCCGGTCTTAAAAATGAACGATGGCAAAGTTCATTTCGTAATTTTCTATATAAATGTGATAGACTTCATCATTTTTTACGACAACAAGGACCATCAACTGAAGATGATCCATTTTTACCTATACTCGAACGATTTCTTGATGAAGAACAACAAATTTCTCAGATTCGTAATATAAATTCTGATATGAATAGACGAGTACGTGAAGTATTAAATACAATAAAAAGAATTCGTCAAGAAAATAGTCAAAAATTATTTGGATCAAATGAAAGACTTTCACTTAATCAAGTCTATCAAATAATCAATGAATTAATAGCTATACCAACGGTTAGAAAACAAGTCGATAATATCAAAAGAAGTCGTCAATTAAGAATGAAACAAAATGAATATATAATACCAACAAATTCAATCAAAAACAGAATATTCACTTAATTTATTAATTACTCATTCGATGATTTTCTTTTCAGTTTTTTTTTCTAATGATAAATTAATTTGATTTAAAACAAAAATCAATCTTTCATTATAGATCAAATTTAAATATATTAATTTTTTTCTAACAATTCATTTCCTTGTAATATTTAATTATACATAGAATTCAATAATAATTTTCTCTTGAACGACTTTTGACTTATCGAGTATGAATACAGTTTGAGAATTCTTGAAATACAAGACGATTGCAGAATTTTTACATTTATGATTAAGATAATTAAACATATTGAAAAACATCTACATTGATTTTCCTAGAAATCATGTTAAATATTGAGAAAGATCAAAAAGCAAAACAAAAAAAAAAAAAGAAGATTCCTTACTTCATACTCATTTATTAGAATATAAAGCTTTTCCATTCACATTATATTATTGCTTTCATCTTTCGGATTAACTCATCACAAATAAAGTATTAGAATGAACGAAGAGCTCAAAATCACATCGATAGATTAGTGTAAAAAATTGATCGAATAAATTTTTAACTAAATTCATAGTTTTTCTTTTTTATGAATACATTGATGTTCAATATATTTGTAGATGATGTCGAAAATCATATCATCAATCATTATTTACTTTTCGCTGCTCCGTGTGTTGTATACAGTGTAAACAATGATTGAAATGCTGGTGAGATATTTACAGTTGTCAATATATTATTTAATATATCATCTGAATTAGATTTTCAAAGTTTTTATTTTTTCTTTGCAATTCTTGCAATATTTGTACGCTTGTAGGTGCTGGTTGGATCAGCACATTGAGCATTGACGCTAATAGCAATTGATGATTAATATCAGCGGAAGCATCGACAATTCCTTAATCAGATGATCTGAATCAAATCAGAATTTACAATTAAATTATTTAATTTTTAACAAAATATAAAAGAAGTAAAATCTATCGATGATTTAGGGAGAGAGAAAAATGCTTTAAATACATATTCACATTTGTTTTTATTGAACTCAATCGTTTAATGATTATTTAGACACATATATTACACAGCTATCAAATTCAATGTTGTCTATTAAATTATTGCGCGTTGATTCTATTATATATAGGAAATACCAGGGGCGGATATCGATGGAGATATCGTTTGTTGTTGATGAGCTAAACAAGGATCACCTGATGAATTCACTTCGTTCGTATATTTTCTTTTGTTTCTTTTTATTAAATTATTTTATTATTTTAATAGTGTGTGCAATGAATTTCCTCATGCTACTCTTAGTAATCAATTATGCACTATGACTTATTCAGTAACAAGAACAGTCTCTTGGTTAGTAGCATTTTGTGCAATTCATTATCGCTGTACAAGACATATCGAATAACAAGTGGTGTATATTAAACGGCTGATATTTGCAATTGTGTTTTCTGACTTCTTGAAATGTTTTATTCCAAATCAAGTACATCATATAATAGAGCAAAGTGATTTCTACATTTTGATATCACAAAAACTATTTCATATGCATATGTTTATTTCAAGACTAAGTAAAATTTAACTAAACGATTTTTGCAATCCAATGAGATAGATCAGTTTTTTTTACATCACCAATACATCTTTATTGTGTCAGTGGAAGAACCATAGATTTTAAGCTTGGTTAATTACATACTTTTACCAAAGGTGTTTCACCTATAATAATTTATAACATACGTGTTAAGACTATTGAGTAGTCATTATCAGTTATTAAGGAAACACATCAAGTTCTTTATGTACCACATCAGTGTATTTTTTTGGAAATTTTGTTTGATGTCTTATCCTTTGATACTCATCTGTTACGTCCTAATTATCGTCGTAGACAGGTAACCTCTAATGATTTAAGGTCCCTCTTAGTAAGAAATAGGTATTTCATTACGATTTAAATGTCAATGATCGGTAGATAATAGGTTCATCTACTAACGTGACAATACCATACCACATGCATAGTGGCATTTATTAACATGGTCTTAAGACAACTTGATGTATCGCCTTGATACCTCATAATGCCATTCAATAATTCTAACCTCCATATTATAAATTATTACAGCGGAGACAACAATCAAATAAACTTAAAATTTATGACTATTTAACTGATATAATGCAGATGTATTATTGATGTAACAAAAGCAGATCTATCTCATTGGATTAAAAAATGTTTCAGTCGAGTTTTGCTTAGTGTCAAAACAAAGGCATACATATGAAACAATTTTGGTAATGCCAAAATGTAGAAATCACTGTATTCTATGATGTATTTGATTTGGAACAAAACATTTCAAGAGGGTAGAAAGCGCAATTGCAAACATCGACCATTTAATATATGCGTTACTCTTTATGAGATATATATGAAAGAAAAAAAAAGTAATCTTGAATTTTTTGTAAAGCATGTTTCTATTATGGAAAACAACTACCAGGTACATACGTTTCTATTAATATTGGTTTAAAAGTAAATGAAATTGCATAGTTTTCAATTTGTTGTGAAAAAACTACTGTGATACAAGTTAACATGTATTCATCTATCGTTACGATACTAAAAACAGCTAAATTTGAATCTTTTTTCAATAGATCTATCGAACATATTGAAAATGCATGAGTTCATATTTCATTAAATTTCATTACAAATATCATTAATGCTACAATAATTTCACTTCAACAATCATACAACCATTGGCATCCGCTGATAAATCCCAATCATATATTCACCTTTCACGATCTATTTCATTTTCCTTTCTTAATTAAAATAACGGCGAACTTTCTATTCGAACAATAGTTGATAATTCAATTAAATTGATTATTCCTCGAAATCCTTATCTTAATATACCGTCCATGATTTTACACAATGTTATTTCAATTAACGAATTTCCACAAAATCAATAAAGTTATTTGAAAAGTATCAATATTACAAGTATTCTTGTTATTTCAATACATTTCGAATACGTCCTTTGAATAAAAATCTTGCTTATTTGTTCATTAACAAATTTGATCATTCGTCCGTAATACAGAGTTCGATTAATCAAATTGATGAATGGAATTTATTTTGTTCTTCAAACTTTGCAAATGATAGTCTTTACATATATTTCATTGATAATCAACGTATAATTGAGCATTAATCAATGATCTACGGTTTACGAGAATCAAATTCAATGGAAATAGATTATTTTTGTTCTAAGCAACCCATCAATAATAAATAAACGATTTAATTTTATATTATATTCTGAAATTCGTATAAATACATGAGATTGTTATTATTTAGATTCAAATAATAATTGGCAATCAGATGAATTATTACCAAATGTTATTTATTTTTTTTATTCTATTTAAAAAATAATTATTCAAAATACGATGAACATTGAACTATTGGAGAAATTATCGTCAAACACAATTCTATTCGACTCATTTAACAACATGTCTAATTTTTTTGTCTTGCTAAAATCAATCAATTGGAATTATGAATTTTCTAAATATGTTTTTACTAAAAATAAAACTGTTTCTTCAACTGTTGAATATATTTGTATCACAGAAAATCATAATACGACTATCAAAAAGTTATCATTTTCTAAAAACAAATTATTTAACTGATTTGAACTTCAATATTCTACTTAAAATAATCTGTTACTTGAATATTTCTAAAGATTTTTATTGTAATTGTTGTCAAACCAATAAAGAAATACTGAAGAGGGCAGACCAATCAAAGAACAATTTTCAAGTGCATGTAAACGATTTAACTAATTAAAAACATCGATTTGTATGAAAGAAATTTTTCTGTTAATGAATAAATTAAAAACAACTACGTATGAAAACAAAGAAAAAGTCCTAAAACATAGATGGTGCTTTCAACTGATGGATTACTAAGTAGTATTTTTTTTCTTATCTCGATTGATAGAAGAGAAAAGAATCCTGTATTTCAACACGTGTACTTTGTTCTGTTCTAGTACACAGTAAAACCGGTCATCATTTTCTTTTTCTGTTCTCCCAAAGAAACGGAAAGAAAAGAAAAAAAAAAGAGAAACTAATGTCATTCTATCAAATGCAGGCCATATTATTGCTTGTTTTTTTTCTGTACCCTTCATCAAACCAGTTAAACAAAAAAATATTATTCGATTGAATCTGTTTCTTTTGCATTTATATCATGGCATCTCCATCTGCTCCATGTCGAGAATGTGATCGTGGATCCTACCGTTGTGATGGATGTCGTCAATTATTTTGTGAACACCATTTTTCAGAGCATCGACAATATTTAACTCAACAATTCGATAATCTTACAACTGAATATTCGGATTTACAAAAAATTCTTGCTCTTCCACCATCATATCAAAGTCTAACAGAAAATACTGAATTGATAGATAAAATTAATCAATGGGAAATTGATATTATTCGACAAGTTAAAGAAATAGCTGAAGCAACAAGAGAAAAAATTCGTCATCGATCTGATACTATAGCAACTGAACGATTTGGACCAGAATTTCAACAATTAACTGAAGAATTACAACAGAGACAACGAACAAATCATTTATACGAATTAGATATTGAACAATTAACGACAAAATTAAATAATTTTAAGTTACAAGTAGAAGAATCTCTATTAACTACAGCTGAAATTCGAACAATACCAATTGATTGGACAAAATATATTCAAATCGTCATGAAACAAAATAGAGTACAAAGAAATCAACGAAATATTCATATCGATCGATTATTAACAATAAAACCAAGAATAAGTTTAGATGTTAGAGGTGCAGATTGGCACGTTTTAGGAACTACTTCATCATCAAATTCAATATTTCTTCATTATCAACATACAAGGAAAAATAAACGTTTATCAGTTGTTAATGTTAATGGTCAACAAAAACAAATACCATGGTATGAAGATCAATCAATATGGGATAGTTGTTGGTCATCTTTTCTCAATAAATTTATTATATTAGCTGATAATCGACTTTATACGTATGATAATAATATTGTAACATCGGATTCAATGCAACTTATTGAAGCAGTTAAACCAAAAAGAGACAAAATGGAATTTCTTCGTTGTATTTGTTCAGATGAAACTATTTTTATTACTTATGATGAACGTAATAGTTCTATTGATGAATATAATATGAGTCATTGGACAGTTGTTCATAGATATGAAAATATTGTTAAACAAAATGAAATTATTGTGGGTATTGCTATGTCGGAAATAAATTCAAATTTAATTGGAATAACAGTTCTTGATGACAAACAACATTGGCATTTTGAATTAAGGGATCGATCAATGTTACTCATTTCATCCATACAACTTGATAAGAGTGAATTCAATCGACGAATAATATCATTATCGAATTCGTCTATGAATTGGCTTATTGTTCATACTGGAACAATCTTTTTTACTATTCTTGACGAAACTGCACAAACAAAACGAATGATAGAATGTGCTGAACCTATTGATTTAGCAACGTATTTCGCTCCGCAAAATTGTTTAGTAGTTTTAACACAAAAAAGCAAATTAAAATTTTTTGATTTATAAGATAAAAATTATTTTTTTTAAATATTTATCAATAAAAGAATTCAGTTATCTATCTTACGTATTTCTATTCAATCATACTTTTAATCAGATAAAATATATTTTTTTTGAAAAACATGTAATAAACAAAATGATCACTTTTACGACCTGAAATATATAATATATCTTTATATTTTTGTAGAAATTTTTATAAAACTGTCCTATTTATATTTATTACTGTATTCAAAAACCTAGGAATGAATATTTGATGTAAAAGGGGAAAAACAATATCGTAACTTATTAGGTAAAATGTTTTAAAACATGCCCATATTAGGTTTCAGAAAATAAAAAAGGCATAGAAAGTTCAAAAGCTTGTTGTTGACGGTTATAAAACTTGAGTTTTATTCTCCTATTGACTAGCACGATAACAGTCAATTTTGATACTATCAAGATATTGATAAGAAGGAGGTAATAACGCTGCATGCATAATCATTTAAAATGGTAACGCATATCAACCTCAATTTGATCTTTCTGGACAAAGGACATATTCAAATGTTGGATTACAACTCGTTGTAAATGTGTAATCTATGATATTGCTATCATCATTTGGTTTGATGCATACGCCAATTCGTTCTTGAGGGCGAGTATACGAGTCAAAGTGAAGGTGAGCATGAAGTGTTCTCCTCTATGTATAAGATATCCTATTCTAATTTGCTGTAACTCTGATCCATTATTTTCTTGTTTCTTTTCTAAGCCATGTGAAATCATCTAGGTATGTCAAAGCAATATGTCATCATTGAGTTGAAAAGTTGATAGCTTAACGTCGAAGACACGAACATTCCATAAATCTGTTCGTTCGCGGTAGAATTGAAGTGATACATCGCGACTGCCGTGGGCATTCAACACACGTATCATCAAACGTTTGAGCATCGAAATCCGACTATCTATGGTTCTCAATGAAGGAGCCAATGTGTGTTTTCCAAATATCTTACATGACAATTTCTTAAGAGTGGATTTCTGAGAGACTCAGACACCGACGATGGTAAGATATCTCAGAATTCGCTGATTTTTTTTATATGTTGTAGAGGGTAGTGAGTTTAGCATTCTTTGAAATTTTCAGTTCGATCTGATCACTTTTCCCTCTACAAATAATCAAAATACTAACGACATTTTTGATAATTTTTAATAGTGATTTTTTTATCGATTTTCAGATGATTTTCTGAGTTAAATTAGCTTTTGCATTTCAATTTGTGAGATTTTCGACTTCTCGTTTTTCTAACTATAACTATTAAGATATTTCCAGGCAGTCAATAAACGGTCAGAAAGACGTTTACACCGTTTTAACTCGTTTAAACGCGTTTACTACTGAATTTTTCCATTTTTAAATCGTTTTTACAGTTTATTTTCAAGTAAATTTGACACAACCGTTAAAAACGGTCCAATTTCGCGTTTTTCTCGAAAAAAGTACGTTTTAACGATATTTTTCCATTTTGCTTCGATTACCAAGAAAAAAAAATCAAAACTACAAAAATTTTATTATTATACTGTCAATGAGTAATGTGTATCGTCACGTACTAGTTGTTAGTAGGTGATAGTCTGCACTACTCATCTGTTACTAATGAGTAGCAAATATTTAGTTTTAATATTCTGTGACACTTATACCTGGTCGAATGTATCTAAATCACGTAACACAACATAGTGAGTAATCAGTTTGGTTACTTTCTAGTAAGTAATAAGTGTTACGATTCGTTGTTTATTGTTAACAGGCAACTGCTGGTTAGAACATGTATCTTTTATTAATAAATAGTAAAAGATCAGGTCCGATATTTATTATTAGTGGCTAGAAATTTTAAACCAAGAAAACTGTTTTACTGCCATTAAGTCGAAGTCAAAATCGATAGAAGTATAACGATCTTACTGATGATACTCCCCGTAGTGAGTTTACATATACTTTATTGATGCATTGTCAGTATATCTACTCAGTAATATCTCACTGTTACTTAAAAATCGTTAAGACAAATATTGTTCGGTGTTAATATCTGATGAGAATGTAAAACAAGCTTAGCTTTGATGTGATGCAGAGTAACTGATAAACTGATTTGCTTAACAGAAATAGTCATGCAGCACATCTCATACTGAATATCTTTAACAATCAGCGTATGAACAACTAACGTTATTAATTTGTTCCATGAACATTATCACATCATCTTAATCAACATTGTTTAATTTACTCCGCATTTAAGATCAATTATAGCTCGGTTATATTTTGAGAATTAAATAAGTGCAGACAAATATTGTTAACGTTCAAAAGCTAAATGGGAGGAGGAAATCATCATTAATGTTACTACATGTTAATATATCATACTAACAACATAAGCGATTCTTTCCTTCTCGGATTATATGATAACCATAATCTTCTTTATTGTTCTATAAAAAGTGCACGTACGTATGAGTAACAAGCATGTTCAACCAAAATAAACAAGTTATCCTATTCTCATATAGCTTATAATTATAAAATGACTTAGAGTTTAGCTGTTTCAATAAAAGGTTCAAAAATTAATTATTTTATATTTTATCTGTTTCTCATCGTCACATAGAAACACAGTTCATTATCTGTCTACATTTTAAATAAATTTTTTTTGCTCCGTCTCTTCTTTCAGTTCGTCTAGTCTACGGAGAAAGGAAAACGAAAGGTATTCTTTTATTACTCTCTCTCGTCCGATTATTTGTCTGTTCTTTTCATTTTGAATTCATTTGTGTTCTGTTTCGTTCTCAAAGTAGTTGCCTAACTGAGCAGATCATTTTATTTATAACGTATGTTTAGAATTAATGTTAAATTTACTAGGTGTAATGCATATGCTTCTTTTGTGTAAGACTGGATATATTCGATTTAGATAAGTTCTTTTCTGCAGAAATCATTCAGAATGAGAGAAAGAATAGGGCACTTACTACATTGCTATTAATCGTGAGTTTCTTTGAAAAATACTTCAATATTCACTAGGTTAGTGTTGTCTTAGACATAATATGTATGGTACCGATGACAGTACAACTAGAATGATCGCTCGTAGACGATAAACATAACAGGGTTCCGTTAAATATTCATCACTTGGAATGTTTGATATAGAATTTTCATCACGAGTATGTGAGACGTTTGAAACAGATGAGTTTTCTACTTGGTGAAGACGGAATCTTAAATCATCGAAATATGAATGAGCTTTAAAAGAAATATCGTCACTACAAAAAGCAGATAGCATTCTGGTGCATAGGTGTAGTTTTATCAATTTCGCGATCGACTTAATACACTATAATTATGAGATTTCATAGTGCATTGATGATACTTCTAGTTATATCATATCTCCGAACTTTGATATTTTAGAATTTGATCGAAATAAAGTTAAATTTATTAATGGAACTTGAAAAGAACATCTGTCTACTATAATAGTTCCAGTGGTAGTTTTCTTTATATTAGAAGCTGGTTAGATAGTCCGTGGTTTGGCTTTTTTTCACCAATTCCTGTGTTAGTCGTAGTATTTTAAATCTATTCATCGGTCTATCTTATCTGTCACTTATTTGAAACATGAGTATAAATCATTAAATTTTCTTCTCGTTTATAAACTGACCGATTATATTTAAATTATCATTGGATTAATGTTAAATTGACAGGTGTTTATAGTTTATACTTTGAAAACAGTACCGAGAATTTCCCTCATCAGTTCATTTCTTTTTATGTTAAGAGTAAGTTCACATTTTACTATTTACTTGTTGGTATTTTTTTTTCTTTTTGTTTTTTCTAATAGTGCAATGGTATGACAAGATGCCAATACTGTTCGATTAAACTTACGTATTTTATCTTTCTTTTCACTATTGAAAAAAACAAAAAGAAAAAAATACCAACAAATAAATAGTAAAATGTGAACTTACTCTTAACATAAAAAGAAACGAACTGATGAGAGAAATTCTCCACATTGTTTTCAAAGTATAAACTATAGATATATGTCAATTTAACATTAATCTAATGATAATTTGAATATAATCGATCAGTTTATCAATGGGAAGAGAATTTAATTATAAATTGTTGGTACTTAATAGTTTAGGTGAAACGTTTGTTGATCATTAAGAGGCGTTATAACGGAAATTATTTCAACTGTTTAAACAGTGTCATTAGTCGCCAAAAACGCGTTAAAACTTCAATGACTCTAAGCGTTTAAACGTGTTAAAAGTTAATTTTTCATAAACTGTTTTAATGCGTTTTTGGCGACTAATGACACTGTTTAAACAATTGAGATGTTGAGACGTTTGAACGCTGTTTTGTTGTCTGCATGGGTTGTTCTTCTTCACACAAAATTTCAGGAGTTTTCATCAATCCTCTGAGGACTTTTGAAATACCATTTAAATAGATTTTTTTTTATCAAGATGTCGGTCAATCGCATTTTATGCGCCAACAATGAATCGCTCTGATATTTCTACCGGTGATAGAGCACATCAAATTCTACCACCTAGGATATTTCATAGTTTCCTTCCGTCAGAAAAATAAAGCACTTTTGATTAAAGTCATTTATTTCCTATCATTTATGGAATATGTTTGAAGATGCTCGTCTTTTTTCCATAGGTTATACTTTCTCAATTCGTTAATATGTTGTTGCTGAACTATATTTTTGTTGTGGGTGGTATAATAATATAAAATTTCTAGACTAAACCTTTGGCATTTTTATTTAGCGAAAGAACAACAATATGTTTAGAGAAGGATCACTTCCACTCAACATAGCATAAAAAAAAGGAAATTTTTATTGCAAAAAAAGTTGACTTTTATTCAAAACGAACCTGATATTCATAATCAGCATAAAAAACTACGCTAGAAAACATGTTTTCCATCTGAAATTGTTTCCTATGAAAATTCCACTATATACTCCTCTTCGGCCATTTACCCTTAAAATTTTCCTTGTGGATCTCCACAGGTGAAATTTCGATGGGAAATATTTTATATTGAAACATGCTTTTTCTAAAGTAGTTTTCTATATTGATTC